GGGGGGGGCCTGAGCTTTTGATGCCCTTGCGTATTCATCAAATTGTGTGAAATTGTAATTGTAATTTCCACCGTTTGCAATGGGCATTTCTATAGAGGTAAAGGTAAAAGGGTTTCTGATAGAGACATGACCATACCCGGTACTCAAACAGCTCAAGGATATATTAGTTTGTGGTCGAAGTGGGTGTGTGGATACAAATTCTAGATCAGCATCAATAGCAGTGTCAGCGACTACCTCTCAGAGACTATAAGAGCTAGAGCAATTACATTTTGTGCACAATCACACTGAATCAAGATGATCTAAAAATGTTGCATCCACAATTTTTTAAGATTTAAGAATGACCATGCCCTTACCGTTCCCCAAACCAACTCATTCCCTACATTGTTTTAGAATTCAACAGAAATCATAAGCTCCAACTGCAGTGGCTCACAATGTTCCCGCTCGTTTTTATAGCCTTTTTACACTGCGGCTGCGTTATGATTTTTTGGTGCATTTTTGGTACATAGGTTAAGCCTAGGGTGCAGGTGCGTCTACTACAAATATTGATAGGAAACGGACTGGCTACAAAAATAAAAGAAATCAGAGAAAGAAATTCCCCACATGTACACCCCTAGCCATGCCCCTCTTAAGCCGTCAATGGTCCAATCAAAAGCCATTCGAAAAAATTAATGCCAGCAGCATAAGCCTGTCTAAAGCCTTGGGTTCTGTTTCGCTCTTGTCCCATAACCATTTTTCGAGTGACAACAAAACGCGGCAACAAAATGCATTTGCATTTGGATCAATTATTTGATAATTGGCACTGGCCATTAGCCCAAAAACATATGAGAAAGTCCTACCACTATCACAGACTACAGCCACAAATCGGACATAGTGTGCGGACATGGATAGATAGATAGGATTTCTCATTTGCAACCAAATTGAGCGGTCATCGAAGGCTTGAGATGATTGAGTTGATTCCGATTGAGAAAGCGGTAAATGGGTGGTGCAGATTTTAAATCTTCTTTCAGTTCAATTAAAGTATTTCCTCGATAAATGTTCTTCCCACAAAGGTTAGGTTTATGGGGCTGCTCGATCAAAGAAGATTCTGTTGCTAGTTTAAATATGCTCAAATAAGTATGCTACCTACTAGACTTTGACTCCTGCAGATTCCGATCTTATGTGTGGATTCCGGAGGCACCAATCTGAGTCGTTGCACCGTTAAAATTAATTACACTCGAATACATTTTTGGCGCTGCTTTGATTTCGTTTTTCCGCACTCGCACTGACTATACATACCCAAGGTATGTGTGGGTTGTGACTCACACAGTTGTTGGCGAGTGTTCGTGTGTTCAAGGCAAGTAAGTGCTATATGCTCGCGGGCTTAGCGCGGCAAGGACTCGAAGATGGGGCACAGGGAGACTGCAGCATAAAAAATAAGCACACTGTGTGGGGGCATGGCGCGAGATGAAGAAAGAAAGGGTGGCAGACACATTCAGACAGATAAAAAGAGTCGAGTTATGGAGTATGGTTGGGTGAGGGGTAAAAGTAGGTAAGTGGGCCCTGGCCCTAGACATATCGACTTGTTCCCGCCCCTTTCTTTGGCAATGCATTGGCAGCCAGCTGTGCACGAAGTAAGCGTACAAATATTTTTAGTTTGAACAAATTTCCGCTTGTCGCTGGCCTGTTGTAAAAAGCGAATAAAATGAAAGCGCAGAGCTGAAACTGAAACTGAGAGAGACGACGATAAAAACATCCGTACGCATAGAGTAGCGCACCTGACATCATGACATAAACAAACTCATACACCTACATATACATATGTACATGTAGATACAGACAGGCAAAGACAAACAGCGCTTAGTTAGTAAACGCCAATGGCTCAACAGACAGAGAGCGAGAGAGAAACTAAAAAGAAAACTAGTGGCTATAAAGTGGGTGGTGAAGGTGGGAAGAGCAATGGGTGCAGGTGTAGCTGTTACCTGTATGTCTGACACTTTTGTAAACAAAACAAAAAATGCCAAAACAATCAAGCGCTTTCACCCTCACAAAAGCAAAGAAAGTCGGTCCTTGGGCCCCCTTAGTATTCGTATTCAGGGATGCACACATAAAGACTCTGAAATGTTTCTCTAGCAACATGGGGAAAATGATATTTTAGTATAAATAACGAATCGGACAACATCATCTATCTGTCATTGAGAATTTGTCTTCAATAAAGTGATCCGTCAGAAACTTTCAGCTCCCCACACTCTTTGCCAGTGACTCGAGATCGAATTAACAAAAACTTGCCCGATTATTTTTAATCTGCGCTTATAAACAGGCTTCCTTGGGCCTTTTGTAACCATCTCGCACTCTCCCCTTGGAGCATACGTTCTTTTTGTGCCGCGTTAACTGCACTGGATGGCAACGCTTTTTGCATGTGACAGCTCTGTGGGTCTGCATCTGAAATTAACAGAATTTATTTCATTTCATGCTTCTGGGTCTCTATTAGAATGGGTCTCCCAGATAGGGCAGGATGGCGGTGCAGAATAACAATGGCAACTTATTTTTATGGCATTCGCGTCAACCCCAGAAGGCAGCGTGGCCTCTCCTCCTCTTTGGCCACCATCGCACGTCCACGCTGGCACCCATGGAAAATCCCTTATTCCCCCATTCTCCTCACACAAAGGGTTTAGTTTTTATGGGCATTTCTTTCCAGCCTCTGAGCCTTACCACATCGCTCTGCCGCGTCATCGCTTTGCCCTGCCTCGTCACCGCTCTTTCCATTCTTCTTTTTATACCGTGCACTCAAAGAGAGCAACATATTAGTTTTGTGTAGATGTGTGGCACAAACAGAAGACAACGTTTTCGACCCCATAAAGTATCCATGGACATTCTTGATCAGTCCCATAAGCTCACACATTCTCATATGTATATAAAAGTAGTGACGCGGATTGAGTTGCGGCTCACAACGTTCCCCCTCGTTTAGTATTACGTATATTTTTCCTCTATAGTACAAATGAAACGGAAATTCTAGCCTTAAAATTGGCTAATAATGGAATACCTCTCGTTTTATCACGGAGCTCTGGAGTTAGAAAAACGGTGGCATTTTTCTGATCAAATGTTCCATGAACTTTTCCCCAATTATCTCATTTTTTCTTCATGCCTGGTTTTAATGTTTGATGTATTGATGAATTATAAAGAATACAAAAATTCCTATGGCAAAGTTTTGAATTCCAAAAAAAGAATATAAAATACTAAAAAAAAAATAAAGTTGGAAGTTGGGCAACAAAAACTTTTAGTTTTCCAATAAAAAGCAATAGAAGTCAAGTGCAACAGCAACCAAAAAAAGTAACAAGAAAGGAAACTAGCAAAGAGTGCTGAAACAAATACAACATGGGAAAAAAGAGCTCCAAGTTGAAACAGGATACCATCGATCGCTTAACAACGGATACATATTGTAAGTACTTGCTTGAACCTAAACTATGCACATACATTTATCTGCCTTTGAAAACGCATCTAACCATGAATCGATTTGTTTATAAAGTGGGTTTTGTTTACCTGTGAAACGGCTTGAGGCAATGAAGTATTATCTTAAAAATCAAATGTGCATTCGCTTTAAATAATTCGTCTGTCTGTCGGATGTAACTCAGATTCTAAGTGGCTAGCTAAGCTCCCTCGTTGACAAACTTTGCCTCAAGGCGAATTTATTATGGTATTGAAGTGATTTCAATTTGCTCTGCCTGGTGCATTGTTTGACCTCCAGTGGTGGAGAAAGTCTGCAACGACATGTTGGCTTAAGAAAACAGATTGAGAGAGAGATGTGGCGAAAATATTGAAAAATATGAAACTTCTACTTGTTCTTCCACCCCAGAATTAATCACTATTTGTAGCCTCCATCTACGCTGAGATTTCACAATGTCTCCGGTTGGCATTTCTTATTTTGATTTGTTATTGTTTACGTATTTGCTGGAGCCGGAGTCGCCTGGGTCTGGCGTCTGGCTATTAATCAATCTACGGAAAGTGGCAGAAAGCTATATCTTTGTATTTGCCAGATAAATGCATAATTCAAAAGTGTTTTCGCAGAAGTTGTTCATCGCTCTCAGTCACTGAACGAACGAACCAATCGAACAACTCTTGAGATGCGAATCTGTTTCAATTCTCTATTTTTTTAAATTTGTTTTCACCTTTCAGGGTAACCTTTACTGCTACTTGTTCTGCCACTGCTAAGCGGGAGATTTTCTATTCATTTAACTAGTTTACAGTGCTGAGCCTTTGTTTTTGCGGTACTCTTTTCGGTTCTGCCATTTTTTTCTCCTTGACAATGCAAGTCAAAAACTTTTCGAGACCCGAAAGTTTTTAGATAATTGCTTGACTTTTTTCCCATTTCCATTCAGTTGCCAAAGTAAACTGCTTTGGGGATTAGGGCTGGCAGGGTGCTCCACGTGGGTCATAAGAATAATTACCGGTGGGTATTTGAGGCCGCATCGCCAAGAAAGGAAACGAGAAGATGGGCAGACTTGTTGGCACTGTGGAACAGAGTGTTGACAGAATGCTGCGAAAGTTTTCATCATTTCTGAATGGCTTTTCTCTCAATTTGTTTGTCTTCCCTTCGCCAGACACTGATAGTTGACCGCACTGGAAGGGAACGGGGAACATGGTGCACGAGCAGCCCCAACTTGTGCTGAATGTCGCGTCTAGTGTCGTGTGTGTTCCTTGACAGATAGCAGCAAGCCTTTGTTTGGCCAGGCAAACAAATGAATCAGCTAAGGACTCAATTTATAACCGTGTCCAAGGAAGAATCTTAGTATTTTGCTCGCTGCACGCATGTCCTGCGTCCTTTGTCTACGTTTGAATAATATTTGTCCTGAGCAGTGACATGCCAGTCAATTGGTCGTTAGACTAGTTCTATCTGCACAGAGCTGCCAGCCAAGCCAATGGAGTAAATAAATAAATAGCCAGAAAATATATATTAGTTTCGGTGACATGGCCGACCAGAGCTGGTGGTCAAACACTAAATGGAAGTCCCCGTGCCCGGAGCACGTGTTGTTTGCGTTCTCTGAACTCTGTGATTAGGAATTAGCTGAATAAGGGATTTAATTGTAAAAGAAATGTTTTGGATTCGCATAGGGCCGGTTAGTCTTTAGTGTAAGTCAATTCCAGCATTGAATCGTGTGTGTGAATTATGGCTACATATAAAGTAAATAATTCATATGACAGTTACTGGTAGGCAGCAAAGAAAATATGAATGAGTGGCATATCCCCCACATACATAGTATATTTTCCGATTCTCTGGAGCCATCCATTTAATTGTCTGGAACTCGGGAGCCATCCATCGAACTGTGTATTAATTCTGAAGCCAGCTTTCTCGTGTGGAAATGGGACAGCATTTATGTGGCAGTGTGACGGGACGGGTTCCGTCTGCGTGGGGTGCAAAAAAGGGCGGCCTGACACCACAAGCCACTGCACTCTTCTTCCACATTGTGGCTGTGGCGTCTGACACTGATGGCAAAAAGTCGTGCGAGCAATGTAAACTTTATTTACAGGCAATCCTAAAGATAGTAAAGAGCGCACACACAATGGCTGTCCCTTAAATATCCACTTTGATATTCTCACATGCCACATAACAGTGGAATTTAGAGGCATTGTGGGGCGTACACAAGAATACTTCTGTCCATTTCCTTATCTGTGGCAAGGTTATCGATTACCAATCACTTCTGGGCATTTTGGTCTTTACAATTCGGGACTTCATTGAATTGGCAATGCCCCTGGGCAAGAGATGCAGTGAAGAGTATGCAGGGGGAATATCAGCGGGGAGAACAGGCATTCTGGCTAATTAAAATGCAAAGCGTGTAGGTGGCCCATCAAACAATAGCTGGATAGCACGCAGACAAGAGGGAAATTGATTGAGAGAAGTAGAGAGGAGGAAAAAAAAAGACCAGAGACATCCATATGAATAATGCCAGTGGCCGCTGTAGATAAATGGCAGCCATTGAGTCAATTGCTTCAGTTCCAGTTTCATCCACAACTCCAGATTCCTTGGGGTGTTATCAAGCCCCACACAGTTCCGCCCGTTGTGGCAGTCCTCCTGCCACTCCCTTATGGGATGCTCTCCATAAAAGCAATTCCAATGTGTGTCATTTTGCGTGAATTATGTTTTAATATTTTGTTTCTTTCCCTGTCTAGGGATTCTGGGAGTGGTAGTCGGTAGTCTTATCTGCTTGTGGTGTTCGGCCATGAAGGTATGATTACCAAGAGCAATGAGCACACTCATTTTGTGAAGACTAATACGAGCAATAAGAAAACAATGCAATTTTTATGCATAAACATAGCTGAAGATGGAAAGTGGATTTTGCCTGAATAAATTCAACATTTTCATATATCTGTGTCTCAGCAGCTGAGGGGTAGATCGATTTGTTATTGCTGAAAGCAGGATGGATTCCAATGTAAAACAGCTAACAAATATTTCTAAAACCTTATCGTCTGATTTAGTTATCAATGTGAGACAGTTGTCTGACAGTCAACTCACTTGTCCGCTCAATAGCGATTTGTGTGCTGTTCATTGCGTAAATAATACAACTTACATCTTCTACACATTTGCAATTACAAATATCAAATTCTCTATGCAATTTTCGATTATTCTGATTGTGTTTTTGTTGTTTGTTTTTGCAGTCACAGAGAAAGAAATACGGCAATGGTGAGTGCGGAAAATGTGCATTGAAAATGTGTTACAATTCATGATTAATTCCCATTCTTGGCATTCCTACGGTACGCAGGCATAAAGGATTCCTCAAAGACTGTCCCAATGGCCTTCTAACAGAACAGGTGAGTACGCCACGATGACTAGATCAGCTACAAATGTACATAAATATATCGAACAGGTGTCAAGTGGTTGGCATGGTGAATTTTTGGAGCCAATAGACTTAGCAGAAGGCAACATGTTCGTGTGTTTTCAGCTTTGGTCATCGCACGCCTCGGTTGTTGGCTGCTGCAGCTGCTTTCGCTTTAAATAATGACATTTGGTGCTTCTTTCAAACAATTCTCTGCCCACCATGACTCCAATTGATTCATCTTAATATGTATCTAATCATGTTCATATTTATATATATTTCTCTCTCTCTCCCGGTTTCTTCCTTCTTTGTTCTTTCCTCCACTCTTCTATCTTCTTCCAGGGCTTCATAAAAATTTACAAACAGTTTTTTCCACAAGGCGATCCGAGTAAATTTGCTTCGCTCGTCTTTCGGGTCTTCGACGAAAACAATGTGAGTACCGACCAGTTCGAGCCATCCCACATATTCCCCTTCCCATCCCTTTTGATTATCCGACTTGGCCAGCAAAAAACTGAGACAGCCACAAAAATGTAAAGATTTTAGGGTCAGGTTAACGACCTGTCCTGCTTGTCCAAGCGTGAATCATACATCCATTTTTTTAGCGCCGACTTTATGGTTTTTGCCCTTCCTTCCTTTTTTCACGCATTCTTTATCTGGAGCTCAACCATTGTCTGTGTCTGTGTGCATATCTCTCTGCTTCTCTTTATTTTCTTTACATATCCGTCAGGATGGCTCCATTGAGTTTGAGGAGTTCATACGCGCCCTTTCCGTGACATCAAAGGGGAATCTGGACGAGAAGCTGCAATGTAAGTTGGACACAGCCAACTTAGCCAACTAAATGGCCTGCACCTGCTTCTTTTTTGCGATTAAATTCCTATATTGAGGTGCATCTCTTGGTTTTATTTTTAACAGGGGCATTCCGTCTGTATGACGTGGACAACGATGGGTATATAACGCGCGAGGAGATGTACAACATTGTGGATGCAATCTACCAGATGGTGGTAAGTGGAGACGATTTGGGCAATAAGATCAGGGGATATCAAGGGGCCACCACGGGTACGCCATCTACATATGTATGTGTGTATATCTATCTTTTCACAGGGCCAGCAGCCGCAATCGGAGGACGAGAACACGCCGCAGAAGCGTGTGGACAAGATCTTCGATCAGATGGATAAGAATCATGATGGAAAATTAACATTAGAAGAATTTCGTGAGGGTAGTAAAGCTGATCCACGTATAGTTCAGGCGTTAAGTTTAGGTGGTGGTTAAACCGCTAAGCGTGACCCACAAAAACAGATCCGATTTCAACCCAAAAAAAAAAAAAAAGCGCATATTAAATCAACATTAAGACCGAAACCAGAAAGCTAAAGCCGGCGGAGACTTGACTCCCCCTAACTTAAATTTTTCCCTACGCTTTTCTCGATTGCCGATTCACGATTCACGATATCCGACTACCGATTCCTGTTTTCCGATTAAGCGCGTCAGTTGAGGCATTGAAGATGATAATAATTTTTTTACATGCATATGCATAACGAAAATGGATAACTGAATGACATACAAAGAAAACCAGAAAACGGGGCGAAAAGCGATAATGAATAATGAAAATTTTTAAATATACAAAAGAATACAAAAAAAAAAAAAAAAAAAAAAAAAAAAAAAAAAAAAAAAAAAAAAAAAAAAAAAAAAAAAAAAAAAAAAAAAAAAAAAAAAAAAAAAAAAAAAAAAAAAAAAAAAAAAAAAAAAAAAAAAAAAAAAACAAAACAAAAATATAGAAAATCGTGATGTAGTCCAAGCGCAGTTCATAGCCTACAGTAAAACGTAAAAGTAAAATATATTTAACTTTAAATGTGGAAGAGGAGCAGATCTTTTTTCGAAGCATACACCAATTACGAGTAAATAAAGTGCGAATACGAATACATCAGCATAGTTATACCTAACAATAATTGTAGCCGAGCTAAGCCTACAAATCAATTGTGTGCAGCATTCGAGATACATTTACGAAGCGAATAATCGTAACTACAACAAAATTAACTTACCGAATTCCGACAGTAATTGGAGCAGTAATTAAAGTCTCTTATGCTTAAGCAGCGGCGACTTTATACACTACAAAATGTATATGCATGTATTCATATGTACATGTACGGCAGGACAGTATGAGCAGCGAAGGGGATGGGGTGGTTAGGAGGAAGGATGTGTGGGGGGGGGGGGGGGGGAATAATTGAATAGATTCAAATTAAGACGAAAAACGAATAACAAGGAGACGTTTAGTCAAGGACATACAGAAATATATACAGATAGCTGCATAGTGCGACCAGCTGCTACCCTAAAGTCTCACTCCTCCCTCTCAATATACTCTTATCTATGTCTCTCTCTCTCTCTCTCTCTTGGTCTCTCTGTCTCTCGCTCTTTCTTACAAAGACTCCCTTCAGAGAGAAGCAGTGCTTTTAATGCCTACCAACAGGGAAGAAGTTTGACCAGTGGCTCTACAGCTATGAATCGCACTGTAATTTGCCCTTGCCCGATTTTGAGCAGTGAGGAGTTCAAGAAGTGTTGCATATTAAAAGGCATATTTGCTTTTATTTGCTCCCTCTCTCTATTTCTCTCTCTCTCTCTCTTTAACTATCTTTCTCTCTCTCTCTCTCTCTCTGTCACTCTCTATTACCTGCTTTGCCTTGATTTCTGTTAACAACAATAACAACCACAGACACAACAGCTACAAAAATAACACGAAGAACACACTGACAATAGAGCCAGCCGCTGGCTGATAGAAACATCTGAGAAACGCGACATCAATAAATGATTAATAAACCAATCAAACAACGCACAGTCTCAGCTAGGAACAAACAAAAACATGATAAAGCCACATCCAGCATGAACATATATACAATATATGTGCACCATATCTATATATGTATATATATGTATATACAATTACTACTCCACAAGAACGAGCAGCAGTCAGCGGAAAACTGAAATGAACAAAATAGTGGGGAGCAGAATATAAAAAAAGAAATCGACAAAAAAAACTAAAAAACAAAAAAAAATCCATCATACGATTTAATTTCTATTCTATATGCGGTTCAGCTTTATTATTGCATTGATTTTAATAAACCAGTTAACCCCTTCTAACTATTCCGATAAATATCTATCTATATAGGCGGGGCCTGCCGATCACATCTGCTTACTTACGCACTCGAGTGTGACATAAGTATTCCACTCTTAATACTCACACATTAGCTCTAGCCACCATACACTACTCTCTCTCTATAAGATTCTTTCCTCTCTGGTTTCCGTTTCCGGTTATTTTCCTTTCTTTTTTTTTCGATTAGTTAATTCCGTTTCTGTTTCGCATTGCATTGCTTTCTGGAATCGATCAAAATTTTAACCTTACTTATCTTATCTTTTCACAACTATTTGTCTATGTTTCTGTAACTTCTTTGAACTCTATTTATTCGGACGTAAAATTAAACTAAATAATAAAAATATGCCATGCAACTAACCTAAAACTCCTCCCCCCAAAACACACCTACGCATACACGCACACACATACATATGCAGACATGTATGTGTATATAATTATGACTTAAACTTAAATATACTCTAAACAGTATACACTGTATAGCAAAAGCTAAAGAAAAAAATATACAACAATACAATAACGCTTCTGTAAACCTCACTGAAATTCTTCGATAAAAATACTCCGAAAAAATAAATCGCACTATCACCAACTCACACTTGTACGAGTAGAGTACTCGTTTATACACGAGTATGTTAATACAATGACAAACAAAATGAAAATTAAAAATGCCTAATCAATAATTAAATAATTCGAAAGTGATATAGCTGACAAAACAATGTGTCTGTAGTCTAGCAAATTGAAAAAATTGCCACAAAAAAAGTATACAAAAATTAACAAAAACTATTATATGACAATGGAATATACTATGAGTATGACGGGGAAAGGCAGTTTTCACGTTGTAGTTTTTTTTTAAGGAGAGGTCAAGAAACTCGAAAATAAAAGCAATATCAAACTGTAAATAACACTGAGTGAATCACGCGCACCAACAAAAAACACACCAACACACAGACACACTCACACACCACAACAACAACACCAAAACCAGAAAAAACTAAACTGCATAACAATTGTGAACACAAATATGAGTAACAGCAACAACAACAAAGAGAAAAAAAAACAAAACTGAAAAAGAGAATTCAGAAAAGTAAACCTGCAAAGAGCAAGGTATTTTTTTGGGATTGGAACGAATCAAGTCAATTGTAATACCGGCTATGGGAATATTTCTAATAATTTACAATGGAAAGGCGAGGGAGGTGGATCCTCAGATCCAGATCTAGACCCAGATCCAGATCCAGATCCAGATCCATAGATGCTCATTCAGATGCATATGAGTTTCTTTCCACCGCCGTTGACAAACCACATGAATGTCAAGTTAAACGTTTCACAAGCAATATTTTACATACTTATATACATGCATTATATATAATTTTATAAATATATATAATAAATATATATGTATATATATGTATACATATGTATGAATAAATACACGATAATAACTATATACATTATATACACACTCTGCAATAACGAGTCAAACAGCAACTAGAAAATAATAATATCACTACACTATGCAACAAAATCTAACTTTTTTTATCTTAAGGCTAACACGATTTATGAATTATGGCTTTTTTTCTATAAACCAAGTGTTTTTTGAAAAATGTTCGAAAAATTGTATGTTTTTGAATGTTTTTTTTTTTGTCAGAGGTAAGCTTGCTTTTTTCACACAACTTAAATATGTTACAAATAATTTCCCCCAGCTACCAATCGGCCTTCAACACTTTGTGGCTTAGGCTGACCGTCAGGGAAATATTAAGCTTTCAAATGCCAAAACAAAACAAAAAACCATAATTCATTATACATTTTTGCATTCCCATGTTTAGAAGAAAAAGTGGGTTTGATGCCACAATTCGGAGATGGGAAATGCGATATGTTTAATATATGTATGTCTTATGCGCATACATATGTAGATACATACATACATATGTACATATGTATGCGGGAAATAAAACTAAAAGGAATGATAAGAGAAAGTATGAAAACGTTTATAGTGATATTATTTAGCAGAATTTGAATCATATTGTATTGCTAAAAACAACACAAAACGTGACAAGTCAAGAGGAGCATACAAAAAAAAAAAACAAAACAATTGCAGTAAAAGCGAAAACAAAAACCAAAAAAAAAACCTTAGGAAACTGAATATTTTACAAAAATAAAAATAGGAAGTGAAGTAAACAATTACATACAAAAACAATGTTTTCACTCATTTTCCTTGACTCGATTTCGGTTTGTTGTTATCTCTATATTTACCCGATAGTAATCATCATTGTATTTTTTTATCGCGATTGTTACTCCGATTATAATTATTACTGCAACGTCGGTGATTACTATGTATGCACACTAGAAAAACAACTTATTAAGAATGAAAGATTCTAGAACAAGAAATGAAAATCAAATTATTTTACCAAGGAAAATACTTTTTTTAAGTAATTGAAGAAGGGGGGAATGGAAAATGTATCTTGTTACTGTCAGAAAATATTACTTACTTCAAATAAAAATTTTAAAGCGACTCAGGAAGTGGTTATTAATTTTTTTTTTTTACTTTATATATAGCTAGCCTTGACCTTTGGTCAACAGCATAGGACTATTGAATGTATTAATTATTTAAAACGTTTTCAGCACCTTTCAATCGAAATCTCATTTTTAATAACAAGTTAAGGCGATGGCGTTCGAGTCTTTTCAATCTCCACCAGGTAAGTGTTTTCGTACCCTTAAGACCCAGGATGGGAGCTAAGAAAGTGGTCCCGACTGGTCTGAAGGAGTCGACACTTGAGGGACACCCGAGGTGCTCAAAAGAGCACGAAGAAGACATGAAAGCTCATTGCTTGGCATGTGAGCGTTTTCTTAAATTGTATTTCACGCTTCGTTCGTGGGGTGGTAGATGTGTGTGAACGATGTGAGCCCACCACAGAAGAACCAAAGTGTGTAGATAGTCGCTCACATGCTGACATGCTAACAGAATGTATAAAGTTAGGTAAACTTGCTAGATTGGCGTCATGTCTTACTTAATAATAATTGATGTACATAAGTGCCTATGTGCGGGTATTTATACCCGGTATTCTAGAATTAAATGGGGTGTATTGTATTTGTGCTCGAAAGTGTACATATCTGTCCGTCTGTCCGTCCGTCAGTCTATGAGAGCTACATTTACCCTCTGAGTACCGGGTACAAAAGCTGTGTCGCGTACAAACGCGTCTCACAAAGTTCCTTCTTGTGCTCCTTTAATTGTGTTTGTCTATTGCCAGATTTGAGTGGAGAGAAAGTTTTATAGAAACACAATTGTGATATTTCATTTGACAGTTTGCCACTTATTTGGGAACTAATCAAGTGGAATCACAGTGGAACTTAATATCAAATTATTATTTAATGGAGTTTAGAAGCCAGAGACAAGCTGAGAATACGATACTTGAAATTGAACTGGAATCTGGAAACATGAATCTCTAATGATAAGACAGTTTCGGCTGATAGGGTTGCGGTATCCATGTGATATGTCAGCAAATAGAAAATCGACAGAGACAGTGACTGTTGTAAAGCCTGACGCATCGCAGAGTGATTATCTAGGCAGCCCAACTATTTATAATGAAAGGCAGCCAGATAAAAACCAAAATAGATTCTGAATACGAATATATGTATATGCTGCTGTATCTGTGAGTAAATCTAGCTGCATATCTGCTGGGCTGGGCCAAATAAATGCCGAAAACCCGAAAAAGTATTCAAATCAAAACTTAGAATACCCTTGATGACTCGTGGCATCCTTTCAGCTCTCTGAAAAGTACTGCAATATTCAAAACTCTTCTCATCCCCTCTTATAGACAAACCAAAGTAAGTAACCAGTAATTATAATTGGGCTGATTCGTATTTTTATCGACATTAGTGCGTAGGCAGCGAAGTTGTTGATTGCTCTGCTGCTGCTTTAGTCAACGTCAAGGCTCCAGGCTCTCTGAAATGTATTTTTAAAATCCACATGACAGCGTTCAAAAGGCACCACTGAAATTTGCATTCATGCATTCGAGAGCCGCCTGCTTTTTTTGAGTTTTTCTAATATACTTTAGAATTTGCCACTCCAACATAAAATGCCTCCCACATTGTACATGCATTTATCCTTTATAAGCTATTTTTTTGCCATATAATGAGCACATACTTTTTTGTATATGTACATATATTAAACATAATTTCACATTCCAGTAATTATCATTAATTATCAATTAATTACATGTTTGTAGTAGTTCAAAGCAGTAAACAAGTTTCTCTCTGTACCATAAAAAAATAATGTTAAAATAGAACATATCACGAATATGCTTAATATATTTACATTACCTCGCTTGCAAAAACATTGGCTCTTGCATATGGCAATGTATGGGCCATGAATAACATCTTGCTATTATATTGTCTTTGGCCTTACCATATCTGTTCTCTGCTGCTGAGAAGACAGAAGACAGACAAGAGACATTAAATGAAATTACTAATTTATTCGCCGCGCGTTCGATGCAAAAATGCAAAATTCACATACGTAATGAGGTGGGGTTCACTTGATTACGGTGATGAATTGTTCCAAATCAAGATCCATAGAATGGAGAGAGGCAGGAAAGTATCGATATTTGAAGGGAATCTTCTAGATTGTTAGGTCGGAAAGGTAGGTTACAACGTAGGATAACACTCACCTCAGAGTGTTTGTTCTTTGAACTTTATTATACAAATAATCATCTTTCTTTGAGAATGATTTCCCACTTTCACAGACCTTAATCTACACTACCCCAGGGTCTAAGGAAGGGTCTGCAGAGTTCGCATTGGCTTGGCTCGATCCGAACATGCGCACATAAAAATACTTAAATAAACGGTTCGTTTGATTTGCCTGTTGTCCATATCCGTATCTGTTCCTGCTGTTGCCGCTTTATTGTTTATTTGTTTGCCGTTTTCTATTTTCATTTTCGATATGCCTTGCCTGAAAATGTACTATTTACTACATTTAGGCAGAGCATGGCAAGTGGAGCCCCGTGGGGTATATGGGAGAGAGAAGACTATTGTCTGCCTCGACAATAATTAGTCACAAGTGAAGACCACTTGGCGAAGCTAAGTATATTCCTTAGTTGCTCAACAGTTGTTTGTGATACCTGGTGCTGGGTCACTACCTGGGTAGATTTGATTCGTGTTGCAGTATGGAAAATATGTTGACTTCCTCGAGAACACATGGAGGGAATAAGCAAAAGCAGAGTAGTTGGGTTTGCATGGCAGACAGGTATCCCATAGTCGGATCGCATCGTTGCCTGTAGTCTGTAGCCACATGTTCAATTCTCTAATTCTTTAATTCTTCGATTGCTCGATTCTTTTATTATCGCCCGCTGCCTGCTGCCCGCTGCCAGCTGTCTGCGCTGACTGCTCGGTCGGCAGCTTCTAGCATACGAGGCCCCAGGTGGTTTCTGCCATTCGATTGCCTTTCGCTCAAGTTGCATGTTCTCCTCAGCCCCAAAACGCAACAAGACGCGTCGCGATTTGTTTTTGGCTCTTACATTTGTATTTTCCCGTATACCCTCTTAAATATTTGTCGTTTTTTTTTTGTGCACATATAAAATTTTTAATTGAACAAAAACAATACTCGGGAGTTTTGTCCCGTTTAAGTTTCCTCAAAGCGAATGAGCTCCAGCAGAGTACGAGCAGAGTTTGGTTTTAATTTTTGAGCATCCGCACCTCTAATCCATACAAATGCTCATCAGGTATGTATGTATGGATGTCCCACTTCCCCCAACCTTTGATCGGTAACAATGATAAACTTTGATAGGTGAACAATTTCAGCATCGATGGGTACGTAGACTCCAATTTGATTATAAATGCAGGCCAGGAGTAACAAGTTGCATGTTGCAAGCCCAGCACTCTCATCCGAGGGACGCCCGTGCTAGTTCGGAGAATACTTAAAAAATGTGAATGTTTTCGATGCTTGTGTCGAATTTGTGTTTCACTGAGGAGGAAGACTGCATGGTGTTTGATCAGTCCATAGGATCACTATATGAATCTCTCCAAAACCCTTCGTTTCCCACTTTCTATTCTCCACTCTCCACTCTCCACTTTTCTTTTCATTTCCATTTTACTTGCCATTTTTATTCTCAGTGGAAACAGGCCACGTGACGTGGCGCGTAAATGAGGCACACTCTCTCTCTCTCTCTCTCTCTCTCTCACTCTCTTACTATTTTTTTTCACTCTCCGTGTGTGTGTGTGTGTGCCTAAGTACATAGACATGCTTAACACACACTCGCTCGCAATGGAGCCTAGGGGCATAATGGGCGAGCGGCATGCGCGACCATTCGTACAGTGGATTCATTGACAAAAATTTGGGCGGAAAATCAACGCTCTGTGCAGCTGGTACTGCAGTAGCAGACGACATTTACATGTAATCCCAGTGTAGTGGTCCGTTAGCCAATTTCGGGAGAATATTTTGACAATGTGCAATGTGCTGCTGCTCATTCAGCGCCCGCTAAGAGGCGTTTCCATCCAGGTGTCTACTAACTGTTTTCCACTGTACCAACAACGAACCGAAGTACCACCACCCCCATCAAAACCCGTCGCGCCGCGCCCTTCATCCCTCCCTCATCCCAAACAGTCATGGCCTGGCTTGAAGTAAACAGTATTCGAGGGTAGTGTAAACAATCATTGACCTCGTTCATATTTCTTGGAGCGTTCGCTCATTTGCCTTTTGGCCCCGAGATGTAGCGTGGGGCGGGCGGGGGGTACGATGACTTTGCCTGGTCGCAATTAAAATTGTTGTTTAGCTAGTTGGCCCCATAGCGGCACCCATTCTGTTTCAACCATTCTGCTGCCTTTGGCCGTAATCATTTGAGTAGTGAGTTTGGAACCAATTAGCCGCAGCAAAAGAGAAAAAACCGAATCTGATTCTGTTGGGACGGTCCCAGTGTTGTGTGTCCCCAAAAAAAAATGTATGCTGGGCATTAAGCAGAAAGGCAAGCAGGAGGAATCAGAAGATAGGCTCAGAGCAACCAATGCAGGAACAACTTGGCGATGAATCTCAAAAAACAGCGTGGTAGGGACTTCGTAAAATTCCTAACAAATGCTTGGACGTTACCCATCTTACCATTATATTGTCTTTGTTGGGAGCATCTCTGCAAGTTACTCCTCGTAGCTCTCATACCGCCTCGGAGGGCGTTAAGGAGAAAGAGAGGAGCTTAGGAAAGTTAAAGCGGCTTGTTTGCGGCCTGCAAACATGACCCAATATCAAAGCAGGCAATCAGGATAACGCGCATTATCCCGAGGCCCACATATGGAGTGGAATAATTACATTGCGGGGTGGTTTGATGTTGGTGGATAGGAATCAGGGGGCTAGCAAATGTTATTTGTGTGTGCGTCGCTGAGACGCCAGCATAGCGCTGGCTTAGCATTTTTATGTGTCCCCGACCCCTGCTCCGACCAAACTCCAATCATGGCTACAGAGACATTATGTAGTTGGCTTTATCGCAAACGATTTTCCAAACATGATGCCACGTGGACCAAGACCAAGACAATGATAATGAAAGTGGCATCGACCGCAGAAGCGTTCGTATGGGGTCCAGACTTCTGTGATAGTTGACAGGTGACCAAAGTGTTGCCTTGAATGGAACGCCATTGATTGTGCCTGGTATTCGTAGATTATCTTTGGGCATATCCATTCCATCAAAACAAATCCTTTAACTGTTGTTCTAGTTTACAATTCGACTTTCACATTTTCTTTTTCTTGCAGCAGACATTTTTGTTGTGCAATTTGTTTTCTGCGGTGGCTAATTTGGGCCTTTTGTTTTCTTGGCACTGCTCAGTTTTAAGGGTCCTACCACTGATTTTATGGCGCATAAAATGAATATTAACCAATAACTTGGATTTAAAGCGAGATCTTGGGCACAAAGTCCTGGCATCCGGAATAACTTTACTTCTTTTGCTTCCCAACTCTGCTGTCTGGCTTTTTCTGTTTGAATATGAATTGATTACTTGGATAGTTTCTAGTGTATATTTTAACCCTCGTCATCTATTAGAGGTGGAGAGAGTTTTGAATACTTGACAAAATCTGTTGAAAACTTTTCCTCAACTTTTTGTTAGGCATACGTTGGGTCTGAACGTCGCCAAGGAGAGACCTTTCATCGCACTCCTTTTTCATTACTCTGCCCTTTCCTCTCGTTCCACTTTCTCTGCTCTTTTTTCTTTCTTCACGCTAATATTCACTGATTCTCTCTCTCTATCCGTGGCTCTGTTCGAAAAATCAAGCATAATGCTGCTGGGGACGCTGTACTCTGCTTCGTTGGCACTTGATTCTGTATGCTCTCACTTCATTCTTCCCCCTCTCTTTCTCCTCTTCTCTCTCCGTCTCAATCTCTTTCCATGCCCGTTCTCCCTTTGCACACGGGTGTCTCTGTCTCAGTGTTTTTCTTTGTTTGTATCTGAAATGCTGGCGCCGGCATTCAGTAAAGTGTCTGGTAGCTGTCGCCCCTGGACTGAAAACTGGGATTTGAAGGTAGCAGGCGGGGGGTTTGCAGTGGATGGCCCAGTCAAGCAGCCGTTCTCATGGCACTTCAATTCGTTTTGCTTGTTTCGTCAGTGAAACTTTCGAAAAGTGTCTATTAATTTTCATATCGCAAGCATTTTTCAATAATTATGTCGCTTCAGAGCCTTCCTAAACTTTCGTCTTAAGTCCCTTCATGGCCAATATCCTTCTCGGAGATGGCCCATGAGGCGTTTATTCGGCGATTGATTCGCCAGAAGCGAGGGAGTCGGGAATCTAGCTCCCGAGTGACTTCTTTTGCCCCTCTCTCACTTTCGCTTATTATTTCTGTATCAAGTTTACTCGAGGAATTCCCCAGGGAAGTGTTTATAATTTCGATGCCAGAATTTTGCACTTCCCTCCCTATTTGCCTCTCTTGTTCTGTGTTTGTTGCTAATTGTTGTTAATGAAAATTTAATGACTTTGTTAGCTTTCAGCCACCCTCAAATGTCGCCTGTGTTGTCCTCCTCTCGGATATTTATCAGAGATATTTGTTCTACGGTAATTTTCATTGCGGAAACTTTGATTGACCATTGAATGAGTGTCTTCAGTCTGCGTTTTGGCTCATTAGCTACTTTAAAGAAAATCCCTTGACAAACCCACCTCTGTCCCTAACAACCTGAATTACTATTGCTTAGCTTTAAAATAATTATCAGCTTTTGCTGGCTTGTGTGGCAAATACCAAGCACCCGTCATGACGTCTCTGGCCTGAATGCAACCCACCACACTCCATCCCCTATGCGATTGAGGTTGCATTCCTCCTCAGGCTGTCGCCCTTGGCGGTACATGCCAAAAACTCAACGCAACATTTTTTTAGGCTTAGGGAAGACTCTTTGGCTGGTCCGGGGACTCCTCCTTTATCCCTTTCCAAGGCTCACCCACGTGCAGTGTGCGCACTAATTAAGACAAGGTCGGTGCACTAATTAAGAATAGCTTTAAGGCATTTAAACGCTCGAGAGATCCAAAAGCGACCAAATCCAGAGCCAGACTCGCAGCCGAAACTGAAGAGATGCAACAAAAGTTGGAGAAGAATACGGATCAATGTGAAGTTAGCGTTTTCTCAGCGAGGGAGGCCTCCCCGTAACCATTGCATAAATTGTTTTGATGGCTGATGCGCTGATAATCAAGAATCAGCGGACACAGGGCACGCCGCGCAGGTGGTTACATGGTGAGGAGCAACGCTGATTTCATGCCATTATATTAGATGAGATTTTTCCATTTCGTTGTGTTTCACACACCTGGTACTCGTCGAGCATTTATTATATTGCTGCAGGTGGATAGCCTTAAAAAAATATATATGAAAATAAAAAAGTTAAGTTGAGACCCATGATAAATGTTTGTACATATTTCCATGTATTTTGTTTCTTTTCGATGTTTAACCAAGAGGTATAATGTAGTCCATAGTATTTGTGTGTTGCTATTACTTGTGTTGTTGACTGTTTTTCCGTGGCCTCTCGATACTGGCGCCAAAAACTTCGCAACTGTGACGACCGCCGCAAGCTCCAAGGCCGAGAGCTTTTATGGCGCAGCGAAAAGCTTTTGTGGTGAGTAAGCAAACCCAGGAACGAGAGAGAGAGAGAGATGCAAATTTCGTGAAAAAGGAGGAGAGTTTCTGAGGGGGGCGGCTGGGGTTGGCGTCAGAGCTTATGCCCGTAATGTCGAGTTGCTTGCGTTGCGAGTCCGTGTGCCGTGTATTTTTATAGCTCTGTACTGGATATTTTAAGGCCATTGCCTTTTCTTGTCAGGCTCACGCACGGACGAGCACGCCCAATGGTATGCGGCCACCACGTACGAATGCGGACACCCCCACTCGGAGAGAGTGCGCCTGCACAGGTGCTCGTAAAACAGGAGCAAAAAAATTAATAAATTGCATTAAAAAATTTAAAAATTTTGCCCACAGAAAGAGGGAACAAAGGGTCCAATTGAATTAGAGTTCAAGAATGTCTGTCCATTTATTAAATGTTTTCAAATGCTGCCAAAGCCTGGCTTTGAGTCCGACTCTCGCTCTGGCCTGGACGTTGTTTCTGACTCTGTCAGAGAATGGTCAAAGGCAAGTTCAAACGGTTGAAAAAATCCAACGCTCAGAGAATCGCCACGGGTCGTCTCTGGTTCGCTGCAACCGTAGAAAAGGGGAAGCACTTATTTATTATTTATTTTCATTTGCCAGTTGCCAAACACCGCAACTATTTGGCGCTCAGAAAGCTCGGACAGTGGCAATGTGACCAAGGTGACCGCTTGGTGGGGATTGAGCCATGAATCTAGGGAATTGTGCGACATTATGCAATAAATTAATCTACAAATTCATATATTTCCACTACTCAAACTTTATCTTTGTTGGCTTAGTCACTGGTCTACCATTCTGTTTCAAAAAACCCCATTCCGTCCTGGGACTCCTGCGATGATGATTGCCTTCTGCAGAAAGCTCGCTCCGGCAGGAAGGAATAAGCTCACCGGCCATGCGAAAGCCCAGAGGAGCCACGATGGCTGTGTACTCTACAAACTCGCGTCTCTCGATTAAACTTCGTCCTCGTCGGCATCATATCAGCAAGGACATTCGACCTACTGTTGCTTGCGCTCCGAAGCTATTCAGTTGATTTTCAGACCGTGTGACGTCCGGAACGAAACGTTAAACGGAACAGGAAGCCGAGCCAGACCGAGTCCTGAGCCCGGAGTTCCGTCTTTTGTTTTGGTGTGAGGTAAAAAAAGTGCAAGCTGAAAAAATCGGCAACATCATTGGTTGATGTTCTGTCAAAAGAGACGCATCAATGGACTGTGCGTCCATTATCAAAAATAAAACCACATAAACACTGATTTAATAACGCACTCGAACCCAAAAAATAACAAGGAGGAAAGTCTGGGCACTGAAAGTCTTAATTAGCAAATATACAAAAAAAGGACTCCAGGAACCGATGGAAAAATGTTGATAAGCTGCAAAAACATATAATAATATCCAGATTACCTCTAAAAACATAAGAGTTGATTGTGTGTGTGAGTTGGATAAAGGTTGGACGCTGCCTGATAGAAGGTCCAGGCAGCCCATAAAAGCCTGAGAGCTCTCTACTCACACAATAACACACACACACACACAAGTATACGTAATATGCATACATGGAAACACACTTATGCACTCAGAGATACTTTACACCAGTCAAATATTATTAGACCAACAGCAACATTGGAAGACGACCCGTGCGCAGCGACACTGTAATAACCAGCATTCAGTTTCTATATACATGCATGTACATACTCGTACTTATGTACATATGCATATATGTATCTTTCTCTCTATATGCAGTTTCCATCCCACTTTGTACCGCATAGGCGATAAAATATTGAATTTAGGCTATTTTATGGTTGGGCTGTTTTTCTTACCTGTTACCCCCTACAGTCCAATGCTCTTTCTTTTCTCTTCTTTCTACAGAAATTGTTGGGTTTGGCTTTAGCTGATTATTTATCTTCTGCTTTGATCATTCTGATGATCAGTTTCTGTCGCGGCAAATTGATTCTTATATTTCATGCCAGCTAGTCCTTACTTTTCGCTTTTCCACCAATTCTTTCTCTTAATTTCATGAACTGCTTCCCTTAAATTTCTCTCTACCTACCCTAACGGGAATAGCCATCTTTGACCATAGATATAAATTAACCCTTTTAAGTTTTTCAATTATAAATGATAATTTTACCTAGATAAGAAGTTCAACTAAAGCTTTTAGACATTGTATTCAATTTCAAAGCAGTTTCAAATTTAGCACGCTGAAATGGCCAATCACCCCACTGTGCTACGTCAACGAGTTGCTTTATTCCACTCGCGCTTTTATTTCAATGATTTTCCTTTTGCTGCATCCCTGCTTCGGGTAATCCCACCTCCATCAACTCCCCATATCTTGTTACGTCTCCACCTTCTTGTTGTAGTTGCATCCTGCTCAGCTGTTCACCTGGCTTAATAAATTGAATGAAAATAATCAAATGAAAATGAAAGAGGTTATGTAAATTTCGCTCACATGTAAGATTTCTCCTTCGCCTTTTTCCTTTATGTACATATGAATGTGTATTGTATGTGTGTGCTCGTGGGTGTTCCTCCTCACCCCAAAAAGGATATTTGAGTACTAATTTCAAGCAGTTTCAAGTTGCTGTTATTTGCATAATTTACAAAAAGAACTTATTAACCGGAGAGAACAACTGTTCTTTTTTTTACGGAAGTGCCAGAGATCTACTCTACCCCTACGGAGACTCTGTCCTGGGTGGTTGCTGCTAGCTGGTTGCTTGCCTAAAAATTCCATTAAAAAGTGGAAGAACTAAGACCTGGATAGAGCGAAAAGGCTTCTCTGTGAAGAAACGACTTAATGATAGCGCGCGTCTTTGGAAAATTTCGAAAAAAAACTCATGAGAATTTCCGTGTTATCATTTTCCCGTACCCATGAACTATTACAATGGGCATGTGAGGAGCAGCTGACAGAGTAAGAGTTGCGAGTCAATAGCTTGAGTCTGAATTAAAATAAGAGTTTTGAGCCCAAGTCAGAGCAATGACTAACACTGCGACCAGAACTGAGCACTGAGGCGCCTTACAGTATGTTCAATTTTCTTTCTTTCCAATTTCCGATTCTGACAGAAACACGGACTTGGAAACAGACAGGCGCCCTAAGCAGTTGGTACAAGCAACTTCCGACAACTTTAGGGATGCAGGGACTGGGACATGAATGTGGCAAGAATGTGGACGTGGTGCATGGACAGGAAAAGGCCAGGGCGATGGTCTGGGCTCAGAGCTCTGCTCGTTAGCAGTTGCATCACCGGCAACCTGGCCTGCCATCCTGCAAGCCCATAGTCCCTCGTCCCGGCATCATCTCCCCTGCATTTCTGCAGGCCATTTTTGATGCGATTACTTCGTCCGGTCCGAGGCTTCTTGTGAGGCTAGTGGCGTTCAATGGCTGCCAAAAAAATGTCTTTCAAATTGATTATCTGGCGTAGCAATTTTCACTTTATTAAATGAGTAGGCTCATAGGCCCAATAGATGATAGTGCCACAGCCTTATATTCTGTCCAAAACTTCTTGATACTTATTCCCTTTTTTGCCTATTTCTGATTCTGTTCCTACCCTTCCAAGTGGCTCTTGCAGCTTGATATTTTCACTGATTTTTGCAGTTTCAAGTTGGATTTGCTTCGGACTGTTGCATTTTCCCTCCACTGTAAGGCCATAGTTCTCTGTAATCAACTTTGGGCACAGCCATGTTCGTGTCTATGTCGTTGGTGTACCAGTCCATATGTGTATTGAAGATAGAGCTTTAGTGTTGGTACTGGCGATTTTTGATCAAATGTTGCGCCATCTGTGTCTGGTCCTTTCCAGCTTCCGCCGGGCCATCAAAAATTGCCCGCAACTCGTAAAACGGCAAACGTGGCAGATAGTGTGTGGGCCAGGCCCGAGGCAGGACAGCTTCTTTACGATTGCGTTATGAAAGTTTTTTGTCAAATTGTTCGCTTTCTGCGCGGAAATGCCGTGGAGTCGAATTACTCTTGGGACACTTTATGTGACCATAAATTAGGATTATTGCCCTACACGTGGGGGAATCTCCGCCTCCGTCTGTCATCGGCAATCCAAAGTCAATTAAAGTCTCACGCAATTTGCTTGTCAAGTGGCAACAAGGTATTAAAAAAAGTTTTTCCTCCGCTCCTTCGCAGGAGGCAGGTGCAGGTGAAGGTGAAGGAAAGCTGGAAAAAACTTGCCTGCGAAATTATTCAAATTTTAATTACGCAAGTACATACACACAACCATACATACTTATGTATATGTATGTATGTATATAGAAGAAACTTGTAGACAGCGTTGCTGCCATTGTCGTCATCTCTGCCGTTGCCGTTGCCGTTGCCACCACAAAAGGTAGAGCAAACACGAGGCCCCCCGTTCAAGACGAATACCAAATACACTCAAGGATTCTTCATTAAAGGAGCCGTCCCGCCCGATCCGTGAATGGGTTGAGTTGATGGATGGACTCCCTCCTCTGAGCCAGGGAGCTCAGAGCATGGTTCTCTAGTCTATTGTGCCTAGTACCTGGGCTGCTGCTGTTTTTGCTGTTGTTTTTGCCTGTGCTTTCGTTGTCGTTGTTCTTTGCCTTGTTTTCGGTGATGTTGAATGAGTGGGAGGGGTGGCTGCATGGATGGTTGTGTAACTATAGAACAAAACTTGTCGTCGCCGTGCTTAAATATCAAAGTACCTTTCGCTATTTATCAGGGGTAGGAGGCCCTAGGGTGAAGGTGCCTTTGACCATGGCAGGTGGTGATGCTGCTGGTGCAGCGCATTGCCTCTGGTGTGGATGCCGCATGATAAAAAGCGTTTCGCCTTGAAAATGTCCAGTCCAGCACAGTGACTCGTTTGGGCCACTGACGATGGCGATGATGGGCATGATGACAATCTTAAATCTGCTGCCACTTGTCTTTGCAGATCGAACTGAGGCCCAACCAGGATAAGACACGTGCTTCCAATCACCTGTCAGTCGTCTCGAGTCTGAAACTTAGCCAGACGCAGGAGCATAACAAGAGTGTAGCAGGCCAAAAAAAGATTATCAGCTGGAGGGAACTGTAAGATGGGCAAGAAGAACTCGAAATTGAAGCAGGACACCATCGATCGCCTGACAACGGACACTTACTGTGAGTACCTCCTATTTCCTACTTTGATTCATCCACTATTCATCATTTTTGCCGAGTCCAGGCCTCGGGCCGCACTTGCACTCATTTCTTGTAGCTTTTAACGTGACAGGTATATATGTTTAATTCCCAGGGTAGCTCAATTTCAAACACAAGTTAGGTTGTCGGACTAGATAAGTAGGTAATTTGCACACAAATCGGGGATTGAATAAACTTCGTGACAATTTTGTCCCATATATTTTTCCATTTTACCGCTTTTTACCGACCCAAAACTCGGGCGCTGACTTGCAATGATCAGCGCTCGAATTATAAATGAGAGAATGCGGCTCAGAATTGCGTCGGCTAGATTTCGCTCTCCTCTGCTCACACTTCTTCGCCCTTCTTCTCTGTCTGCGGAGAGGTGCATAAGGAAAAAGAAACGGTAAATGACTAGGTGGGAGAGCGCAACTGAACTCAAAAAGCTTAATGACTTCCAATGCATTTCGGAATGATATTGAAAGAGATGATTAAAGATGTCCAAGAGAGAGAGAGAGAGAGAGAAACTGCCGTAAGCTGATAAATTCTTCTTGGTCTGAAAATATCTCCCTCTCTCATCTGCCACTCCTGACTTCACTGTTTACTGTTCAGTTTTACTGACTGGCTGTGCAGTTGGAATTAGGTTTTTTTCCGTCTCATGGTGACCATGCGAACGCATGGTTAAGTCAACGAGTTGGAAGAGCTTACGTGTTGCCCTATGGCTCGGGTGTCGCTGTGGGTTTCGGTTCAAGGCTCAAACTCCCCGTGGCCCTAGTCTTGCCCCACCTACTGCAGCGCTTTCCCTTCTTGTTGTGTGCGTAGCCCGCATGCAGCTAATTTAAAGATCGCTTTGGCCCTTTTTCCAGGTCCCATTCATTAATTAGCATGTGGCCACAGCTACACCCAGCGGCAAGGCCTTGCCATAAATTTACCCTCTTGTGCACAGCGAATGTGCATACATAGATGTGTATATATGTGGTTTAAATTTGCCAACTAGAACTACCAATTCTATAACTTTTTGTTAGGTTTCTTAGTGCATGAGCACTGACGAAGGGCGAGACTCTCATGTGCTTAGTTAGTTCTTGACAATGATAACATAAATGTTATAACATGATAAAATTAGAAATAGAAACAGACAGGAAGTATCTACGTATACAAGAATTATTGGGGTAATATTAGGCAAAGGGATACACAAGAGGGAATACTCAGTAGTTGGGTGCTAAAATGTGTTTTGTCTGGGATATTGGTGGAAAGGGGCATAAGACTGCACTGATCTCTCTCTCACCATTTCTGCAAAAGAAAACTCAGAAATAAAAAGAAATAAACTAAAACTGACTAAAAAAGTAGCAAAACTAAAGAAAAGTGTATTTTCCAGGTATAGGAACCTTTTCTGTTTGTTTTTTTCTGTATCTCTTTCCCATATCATAGACTCTTAGAATATATATTTTGAATGGTTTTATTTCTATCTGTATCTGTATCGGTCTCGGTTTCTGTTGCTTGTATCTGTATTAATTTGTGTAATTTTGTGTGTTTGTGTTTGAGGTTTTTTTTTTATCAAAATTTAGTTTTTGCTGGACTTTTTGGTGGACTTAGTGTGTGTTTTCTTAGCATCTTCCTCTGGAGACGGCACAAGTCTGGCCGCTGCAATGGAAGAACAAGTTTTTTATAACAGAATTTGAGCTACATTAAAAAATGGAGATGCAATATCTCTCAAAAATAGCTCTCCTTAGGTCTGTATGGATGTCTGTATGCAGGTGCTAAAGGTGAAATTAAATAAGTTTAAAATTAAATTAAATAAATGCCAAAGGCGTTGTGGTCTTCCCCGCTCCCGTTCTGAAGAAACTTTTGTTTAAGGTGGCAGCTGTGAAGGGGGACAAGGAATGCCGGGAACGTAAGGGCAAGTAAGTGCACATAAAAATGTATATCGACATAATTACATCCCTGCAAAAAGGAATTTTGTGAGGCTCGTCATTTTTAATAGCCAATGATTATAACCATTTCATACCAGTATGCATATACGCAAAGGGATCGATGCATCGGCACGGATTGCGCAACATTCGACAAAGAGAAAAGGAGCTGCTGGCAGACGGACGGGGGACTTTAGGTATCAGAGCGAACTAATTTGCTTGACAGCTACCGTCGCTGTACAAATATACTCATGCACGGCAGAGTAAAGGCGGTGAAGGACTTGTAGGGGCTGCTGCCAGAAAGGACCCCACTACACATGTATTATTCATCTTGCCGCAGTCGTTGTTGGGTAGGATAACGCTCCTTGGAGCTCACTTACCTCGGGAACGCGATGGCGTGCGCAGACTTGTAAAAAGGTTTTTTTGTGGTGCGGTGTCAAATGGGAGGGTCGTGGGTTTTACTGGCTATGCCTAGTTATTCGGCTACTGGCTGCGGCTAGGCCGAGACCGTGCAAGAAACACGGCGCGAAATCATTTTAGACGCAGACAAGAAGATGTAATATTTCTGACCAACAGCTTGATCTCCAATTTCAAAGATACAGTAGCTCGCAGTGCATAACCAAGAGCTTTTGCAGGGGCTAACTTGTCTCACTGCCTGGAGTAGATCATCAAGAACATCTCTATTACCTATGTCGTTTTTCTTTTTAATTTTGAAAGTGCTTTTCACTCTGTTTTACTATCTCATCTTAACCAAGAGAGTGTCGCATGCGCTTCAAAGTAGACTATAGTTCTGGTGGAATGACTCGCTGGCTGGCGAAAGGGGAATGGAACCGTTTATAATTTCGCTTCTCTTATACACCTCTGTAGCTGGGATACAAATTTCAATTGCACTTTACTCATAAATATCAGAAATAGGGGAAGGTGTTCTCCCACATTGGATGAGCTCTCGCTTAACTAATCTTGATCTAATCTCTCTTTATTGCAGTCACCGAAAAGGAAATTCGACAATGGTAAGCCACACGAACAAATAATTGTTTATAGATTTCAGTTAATTTAATTTAAGCAGACGATCTTGTTCACAAACGGAAACTTTAATTGACTTGACAGACTTGATTTTCTTTTTCTTCGCGTAATTAACTGTCTGGGAAAAAACGTTTTCGTTTGTGAATATTTCTCTTTCATGTTTTATGAGCTTCAAAAAGATTTGTTTAAATATGATTTTGTTCTATTTTCTTTGGTCGGCTCACTTATGTTTCTGTCTTTCTACCATTCTCTATCGCTCTCTGGTGCTAATTTGTTTTTCTCTCTCCTTCTGGTTCCTGGTTCTGCCTTTTCTTTTTTCGGCTATCTCTTCTGTGACCTCTATGTGCTATGCTATTCGCTATCCCGATCTCTGACCTCTAACACCAACGATAGGCACAAAGGTTTTTTGAAAGACTGTCCGAATGGTTTGCTGACCGAACAAGTGAGTACCCAAACGCTTTACCATCCATCCAACATCATAGTTCATTTTTAACATTATCATCCTCTTCGTTGTCATGGCACTCAAAACGACCCGTAATTCGAGTAAACTTTAAAACGAGCATCCATGCAAATGCTAAATATCTTATCGAAAAACAATCAGCCTTGAGCAACAACATTTTATAAGAGCGTAAACTGGATACTGCACACCGAATCCTGGGATCTCAGGCATGGACGAGCGAACAAATTAATGCAAAAGCGGTATACAATTTTATTTGGTTGGACAATTTGAAGTTGTCTTGTTCCTGTGCTCCAGACTTACCATTCCTAGCCAGCTGTACATACTGTACATACATAATCATACATTTCAGTTTACTTAGCTTACACTTACTCGTACCATTCTCATGAGCTCTACCATCCACCATCCACCAGTCACCCACTCGAGTCGTTAATTTTACTTAGCTAGAAAATTTCAACATTTTTACTCTAATGCTATTTTATGTGTCTTACTCCTCTGACTTCCTAACCAATCCCAGTGGACTGCAGTTGTGTATAGGGTCAGCAGAATATTATTAACTTTTCTAACAAGTACATGTGCTTTTTTCTCTCTCCCTCTCTCTATTTCTTATTTGCTTGTTTTTTCCCCAAGGGCTTCATCAAAATCTATAAGCAATTTTTCCCAGATGGAGACCCCAGCAAATTTGCTTCTTTGGTATTCCGAGTCTTTGATGAGAATAATGTAAGCATTTTAATTTTTTTTTTCAGCGTTCCACGTACAATAATTCTCATTTTTATTTATATGCAGGATGGGGCCATTGAGTTCGAGGAGTTCATACGGGCCTTGTCGATAACATCGAGGGGAAATTTGGATGAGAAGCTGCATTGTAAGTATTGATTGTATTGAAACCTTACTCACTCTGCCATAATGGTAATCGACCTCTTACCAGGGGCCTTCCGTTTGTATGATGTGGACAACGACGGTTACATAACGCGCGAGGAGATGTACAACATTGTGGATGCCATCTACCAGATGGTCGTAAGTTGTTTTCTCTTCAAAAAGGGAATACATATACATTAATCACTCGATTGCAGGGCCAGCAGCCGCAGACGGAGGACGAGAACACGCCGCAAAAGCGGGTGGACAAGATATTCGATCAGATGGACAAGAACCATGACGACCGCCTCACTCTCGAGGAGTTCCGCGAGGGAAGTAAAGCTGATCCACGTATAGTCCAGGCGTTAAGTTTAGGTGGTGATTAACTGCAATATTTGTAGTTGCGTTAATAACTGTTGGGGTGGTCCATAGTGGGAATGGAAGCTGAGGCAGAACATCAATGGGCACGGAAGAAGGAGCTAGTCAGTGATATGAGACAACGAACTCCACCCAATCCCTCAGATTCACAGCAAAAAATACAGCAATGTATGTGGATCTTGATTTGAATCGATACTCACACACCCTCTTGTTTTTACCAAATGTCCTCTCTACACACACACACACACACAGGCACAACGACACAACCATGCAACCAAATCGGATCCTTATTTCATATTAACAAAAAATAAATATGAATCCATGTACATATATCTGAGTAAGGATATATATTTATCTGTATAAGATGGATAAATATTTAAATTATCAAATGCCAGAACTTCAAAGAAAAAATTCACCAATTAAAATTAAATTATTAACAAAAGAACGCCAATTTATGTCAAATGCAACAAAAACATATTTAATAATATATATGTACATATTTGTACAAAAACAGAGATAAACATACATCAAAATATGCATGTTGAGGGTCAGTTCAGCCTCTTATGGATAAAAGCGTGTGTAAAATAATGTTCCAATAATCTTATCCAATGAAAATTTTTTTATATGTAAATGCAGTGGAAACTCGCAATAATTAAAGAAAATCTAAAATTCCGTAAACAAATTTGACTTCTTAAAACATTTTTGAACATTCATTTTGATTCTTAATTAAATACACTAAAATAATCGGTTCTAACTTCTGAACATTTAACATTTTTGATATTCCACTGTATTGCATAAGTATCGAGAAAACTTTACTTTATTGAAAAGTAATTATAAATCAAAGCAAGATAGAGAGAGAACTCTCCGATATTGATTTGGATTTATGTACATTACTCAATATGTAGATCTATGTATGCTAATACTTCTACAAATACAAATACATACGCATATATTGAGCATAACTGACCGACTGTCATGCTGTACTTTGCACGAGTCAAAAATTAGGTTGAATCAGTTCTTAAAGCTAAAAGACACGAGCAAGGTGTATAAAATATCCAGGCCTACAGCCTTACTTTTGTCTTGTGCAAAATAAATTCAAACGTTTCCATTTTGTCGCAGAGCGTTACTACTTATTGTATACTCTGAGTGAGCGCTTTGCCGACACATCTACTAACTGTTGATAATCGAAAAAAATACCCACACATAAGTAAATAATTACTCTCTAACTAACTGAATACACTAGATAGATAGCATATAAAAAGTTGTTGAAATAGTCATATTTTTGCTTCTGAAAGCGACGTGTCATGTCCCATGTGAGTGTGGTGCTGCACCACCTCTATCAATGGCTACCCTCACTCATTTCATCCCTTAGACCCATACTAGATCAGTGACAGCCACCCACACTACACACTAGGGACAGGAGCACAATTTTCTAATACAAATATCAACATAAGCCATTTATTGAGACACCCTCCCTATCTCCACCACAGAGCTTGAAGTATACCACCATATCAAAGTAGGAAACTTTACTGAATCTGAAACTATCGCCTGAATCATCGAAACTGTCTCTGTCTCTCTATTTATATCGCTCTATCTTTTTTTTCGATCCTGTCGGACTGTTGCTATTGATTTTAGTTCTGCTTCTCTTTCTACCATAAAATGGAGCCCCCTAATCACCATGCTAAAATAATTTCTATTTTATATGTGGTTCAGCTTTAGATCGTAACGAAACACCAATGTAAAGAAATCTTTCTCTGTGCTCCGACTCATGCTTCCACCCCCCATCCGAATATTCCATTGTATTATTTATTCTACATACCTATCGTGTCATCCCCAGTTATTTTTGTTGCATTGCCTTGTAGAAATCTGATTAAATTTAAAATATAGTCAGTTCAGTTGTCAATCAGGTTTCACTTTGGAACAGCCCCCAGATAATGCGATTAGTTACCAAATTTTGAATGTGCTTCTGATTTTGATTTGCCTGAACAACAGAATATGCCTATGGTAGTGTTGTCGCATAAACAGACAGATTCCAATTGAATAATTTTTGAATATTTTGATTATTAAATGAAATGCCAAGCAGTCGTAGGAATTGCAGAAAACAACATCTAGTTATTCACGAAAAATAAGAATCAATTTGGTGGGAAAAAAAAGAAAAAAAAACTGCATCAACAATCAATTTGTGCGCTTCTTATACTCGATTTCGAGTATCTATACACATATACATATATAGATAAATAAGTATTAAAGCCAATTTAATTGATTTATTGCCAGCTATATACATACATAGATAACACACGTACCCAAGTAAATATTGATATTGTTTTTGCCAATATTTATTGTTGAAAACAATTTGAATTTTAAATTCTAAGCAGCTCGCAAATGCTTGCATGCTTTCTGCAGTCCTATTTAACAATTTAAAAAAAAAAACTGATAAATGTTACAACGCGAGTCGGAGAAATTACAGAAAACGATATCTACACATATTGAATAATCTTAAACGTATTCACTACAAATAAAAATCAATTTCTTGGAGAAAAAAAAAAATGGAAACAAATGCATCAACAATCAATTTTTGCGCTTCTTATACTGGACTTTGAACTCAAACTCGAAATTTTTGTGAACAATTGTACATAGTATGTTTGTATAAGAAGGAGGTTTTGAGAACTCCAGCAAAACTTAAACAAAACCTAGAATCTAAGACACTCCTCACGAAGGAAAACACCAAGATATTTGTATAGTCGAAAGCTAACGAGTAATCTCGCTATTTTTTTTTTATACACTACATATATATTTTTTGGGTACTTTACTTGGAAGCTACTTGCGCACAATATTTTCATGTTAACGATAACTAATAACGAGTTTGATTACAGATTATTTAAAACTGCAAAATCAACCTTACTTTGTGTGCATTCAACATAAGCAATACCTAATTTAGCATTCAAATTCGTTAAGAAAATAAATATTTAATACCTATTAAATCAATTCTATATGAAAACAAATGGGATTCGCAAAATTCATTTGAAGGATACACAAGGATACACACCAAACAAAATATCTCAAAGCAAACAGAATTTTCATTTTATTTTGCTTATCAATCGGATAGAATCAACCATCCATACTGCCTAACTGAAGTTTATTAGCTTTTAACTTCACAATATTGCAAAAACATCGAAAATTAATATTAGAAAAATACTTTTGACGGGAGCTTTTACTGGGAGTTCCTCGAGAATCCTGCCTCTTTGTTCATTCACACGTGTTTAACTCATATGCATGTTGGCATTCATATGGGCAATCTTCTCATTTATAATTAACCAAATAAATAACTCCTTTAACTTTTATGTTTTGATTATGAGCACTTGTTTCTCCTTTCTCTCACACATGGCCAGTCGACGATTTCGTGGGACCGTGAGACTACGTAAACGCGCCACGAATACGAAAACGCACCGGAACAATTCCAATAATTCCAAGCATTCCAAGCGTATTTCAATAAGAGCACATTTGTTGGGGTTTATCTACCATAGGGTGAGGCATAACAGAACTCATGCTCTTATGGTAACACCAACGAGAGCGAGACAGTTCACAGCGACCTCACCTCACCGTGCAATAAGACACTTGCTTTGAGAGAGCGTCGACGCGCTGCTCTCGCTCTTTTCTCCTCTTCCTCACATTGGGTTTTGGAGTTGAAAGTGGACCAAACTTCCCGCCGTTTTTGCATGTACGGGAAACCAGCAAACATTGCCAGAGATAACGGTAACCAAAGCAAAACAAAAAATAAATATGTATCTTTCTGCATGGAATAATATGCTCATACACATTTGGCACAACAATTGACCAAATACTGTTTGCACTTTCTCCTATTGCCTCATTTTGCTGTGTTCGCTCAGCCGCCACGCTTGAGGAACTTTTTCATGCAATTTTAAATTATTTTGCCGTTCCATCCATGATTTTTGGTGCACGGTCCTGTCCTGTGAGCTCTTCGGCTTAAAGGCAGGCGTCCAGGTGAGGTCAGTCTCGGTCCCCGCTTTGCTCAGTAAAGACATTTTCCTTCAACATTCACCAGCAGGTGTTTATGTTACGTGACACTTGAGGCCTAACCTCGCTAAAGGGTGACTGATGGTCTCCATTCTTAAGTCAAAGTCCAACGCAAGCCACAGCTTCCCACGATCGGTCCACATTGCACGCGAGCAAGAACGAAAACTACACTGCTGAGGCAGGTATGGCGTTTTTGCGGCTCTCCAGCGCTCTAAATCAGCTCTAGGTCAGGACACATGTTGTGTTCTAGAGAAAAGTTCTCTGATCTTCCGACCATTTTATAGTGAAACTGCTAATGAATATCTCTATAGGGTATAGCCATTATGTCTCCTCCAAAACGAAGCTCATTAACAACGGTGCAGACAACTTGTTGGGGCTCCCGCTCAAACATTGTTCCATATGATCCGATGGCTGGGAGCGTGAGAAATTGGGCCCCCAGCGAGTGGCAGGGCGGAATTGACAGCTTTTGGCGCACAACAACGCGTTGGGCATTGAGCTGCATGCTGCATGCTGCATGCATCATGTGGCACGCAGCTACGCAGGCGCCGAGTTAAGGAAGTTGGCTAGGGGAGAATGGGCTCAATGACTCTTCCACAGAATTCCAGATTGAGCTTGAAAACTCAGCCCAGCACGCTTAAATTCTTTGCTTTCTGATGACTATTCCTTATAGATCAATGAAACATAAATAAATAATTTAATTAATGTGCAAAAAATCTGCAGTCTTATCCCGTTCGATTTGCTACAACTGGAGTAGAACAAGGTGTGGGAATGGATGGCACTTGTTTGATTGGCTTCGTTTTTACTCGGCTTGGTGTCGCTCCACAAACAGCTCTCGTATAGCTCTCTCGTTGGAAATGTGGGAAATGCAGATATAAGAGCAATGTTCATAAGAGCATGTCCATGACGGAGGGGAGCGCTTTGAAGATGGAGAGAGATGCAAGCCACAAGGACACTTGAACTAAACAAATTCTAAAGTATAGGGGTACTGGCAGAAGCAGGCAAATCTAGAATGCAAACACTGTGAAATCACAGTCGTGACTTTGAAGAGAGAGCCTGGAGCCACTTTCAAAAGCCAAGCTGTCAAAAATATACGAGTATGGCGTTACTTTTGTCTTTGTTTCCACAGTCTCTCTGCAAGCAGTGGGACGAGGACCTGCTGCGAGCAGAGCAGTTCAGAGCACCAGCTCGAGGCCCCTGCCCGCGACTTTCTTTATGTGCACAATGGGCTGCAAAGTCTATAATGTTGCTCATTAAACATATTTCAGCAGAGGATAAGGGGTCGCTGGCAATGATTTACATTAAACAAAAAGAAAAACCTTCGTTATCGTTGCGCTCTCTCCATATTTCTTCTCTGACTTTATGTAGTCCCCGAGATATTCCCATGGCAGACAAGAATAGACACAAATTGTAACGCACTTTAAGTGCACTCTGTAACATCTTGAAACTCAAACAAAACAGCAACAACAGAGGAGGCGACACGCAGAGCCAGCGCGCAGGCATGTGAGGCATGAGATATTACGAGTACGAGACAGCAGCAGAAGGGGCAAGCAACTGCAGGGACATGAAACGAGTCGCGTTGCACATTCAACATATGAATGCAGAGTTCAAGTGCATGCCATGACACAGACACATGAATCTGTAATACCGTATCTGGGTTTGAGTGCCTGCTGCAAAGTGTTTTTTCCCATGAGCTATTTATAGCTATTCCGTTCCCGATCCCATGTTTCGGCACTATGATTATGACGCTGAATGTGACGTTATTTTCGTTCCTCATCTGGCGGCTATTTAACTAGCAGAATCTTTGGTACTCTAGTACGTGGATGGAGTATTAATTATGCCATGTACATAGGACATCCTTTGCTGCTTCTGCTGTTTAGCTATGAAGGTAAGGGGAATGCCTGTGTAAATTGTATGTATATTAGAGATTAAGACCAGGGGACCAAACTCTTCACTTAGTCAATGGGCCTGGCTTTGCCTACCCTTCCAAGTGGAAACGGGCGCCAAAAAATATACTGTCTCTGGATGCTGAATTCTGGGACCAAATATTCGATTTCAGATTTGGGAATGGACACGGAAATGGAGATAAAGATGGAAATGGGACTTTGGCTGTGAGTTGGCCACATGCGAGGAGTCGGTGCAGCGAAATTGTTGCAGCTGTGTGAGAGACCAAATCTATTTTTGTTGCCGCTGCTGTTGCTCTTGATGCTGCCACATGTGTTGCTAAAAGGCATTGTAAAGAGAGCATAAATAGAACTCCACTTGAGCAATGTCTCATAAAGCGGACTTGAAGTTTGGCGCGCAATGTGCAGCACACACACACGCACACACACACACACACACACATGGATGTGCGTTATGTTTTATTTTTAATCTTTCGATTTTGAAATTCTTTCTCTCCATCTGAGAGCGAGCGATCAGTTGAGGGAGAGAGAGAGAGAACTGATATAAGACGAGGAGTACGCGCGTATTTTTGGACAGTCTTTGTGCAGGAGCTCGACGAGTTTGAACAGTGAGACCAGAAGCAGTGCAGGCGAACCGGCATCTCAATGGGCGTCATTTACAAGATACTTAAGCAGCAGCGGCAGCATCAACGGCAGCAGCAGCGACAGGGATTTACCATGGACCTGCGTCTAAGCACGGCCACCAAGTGCAAAATGCAGGCGGCCATCAAGCAGCGCCAGCAGCAGCGACGACTTGAGGATCACCTGGAGACAGGGCCAGAGCCAGGGCGTAGCCAGGAGAGGGATCACAACAAGGAGGCGCTGGCGGCACATCAGTTGCAACAGCTCTGCTGCTTCCTCTCCGAGAATACTGCCCGCAAGCAGGTGAGGAAACCTTTGAGAAATTTACCCGGGAATGTTCCAGCTAAGCCCCTTTTTTTTCTGGCGCAGTGTCAAAGCTTAAAGCTGCAATACGACAGCGAACTGCCAGCGGAACGCGATGACGATCGGGAACAAGAACGGGAACTGGAGCGGGAACGGGAACGGGAGCATGTGAATCTCTCACCGCCTGGTCATGTCATGGAGATGGATCTCATCGAGAAGCTGCATCATGACCACTTACCTTACACAGCCGCCAGAAAGACAGTGTCCACGGCACCACGTGACAGCATCCTAATGAAAATACGCCACCAAATCTTTGAGCGAAAGCGACAGCAGCAGCGGCAACTGGCGGAACTGGTGCAGCAGCGACTGGTAGTATGGCGCCCATGGTAGGGCTCTCCAGGCAGAATATACTTCTGGTCATAACCAAAAGCGAGAGAGAGAGAGAAAGAGAGAGACTCCAAAACTGAAACTAGTCTAGGATTAGGCTGTAACAATTCTTTCGGTATTATTCCTGCTGCCACGTGATGACGATCACACTGCTCTTCCATTTCCCCCCCTTTCTATTGTACACCCACAACCATTTTTTTTGCTGTTAATTAATTAATTATAGTTAGTTATATTGAATTATCCATAGCGTAGGTAGATGGACGACGATTATGTGAAAGATGCAAGTGCTTCCCATGTATATTATGTTTTCTTTATGTTTCCTTTTTTTTTTATCTTAAAGAGGAATGAGAACACCATTTACATTTTTAATAAAATTGTATTAATTTATTTAAATTACTCTTAATTGTTCCCCCTGAATGGCAAGCAGCTCCTACACATTCTTTAGCAGTTTCTGGCAGTTCTTTTATGCCAACATTTGGGGGTTCCTTTCAGTTGTAATCCTGCTTGGAGTTGCCATAAGGCAACATTCCATTCAGAGGATAGTTATGATTATGTATGAGATGATGAGTGTGCGCGATTATTTGATCTCGAACTGAATATTCTCCTGCCTTCTTGGATACATTTCAATAAGTTTGTCGAAAGAAAGGCCATCAAATGTAGAACTTAGCTCATTTCATTGCTTGAATCAGGCATCATGCATTAACATATTGCATTTCACATCGTTGCTTTTATCTATTAATACTATTTTTTGTGGTTTTCGGATATGAGTATGTAGTGCAATTTATTACTTTAGCTGAGTGATTCCTAAATGCTTTGGGCCACTGTAAATAGACATTTCATAGCAGTAAGGAGGGTTTCTTAAGTGGACAGGCGGGACACACATTTAGTTTGGTTATCGTGGTGCAAGAAATGACTGACAAAAATATAAATAAAAAAAGCCCAAAAAACCTATGCTGGGCTCTAAGTTCAAACCCTGGAAACAGTAAACTAGCTAACTTAAACAGCTAATTTAAAACTAAATGTACATTTATTTACAGTAGTTACAATTAATTAGGTAAGAACACAATTCAAATTCGTCAGACAAAAGGTGCTTAGGATCTATCTACCATCAATTTCTGAGACAATTTAGACTTAAGCCTTCGCACTTATATCAATTGATACGTTATGCAGATATACAAGTAAATACATATATAGGGGTACATAGTACATATATCCTATCTTACAGTTAGACAAGTGTATACATAAATACGCGTTTCACACAAATATTCCATTGGTTTCTTTAATATGGACTTAAACATTTATAAATCAGGTTATAGTATAGTATTGTATGTATTTGTGTATCATCATTGTATGATAATCTGTACAAATGTCTCTCTGTTTGTCAATATACGATGTATGCGATGTACATATGTCTGTCTGTCTGTGTCTATACATTATTTTTGTTGCTTGCCAAATTAATCTACCGACTGTGTAGCACACACAAACGAACATTCACACACACATAAACATCTAAATAAACTATCTTTTAGATAACGTTTTTAATTTCATTCCGAAAATCGTATTTTCACTTATCACTTTTTGTTTTATAATATACATAATACATATATCAAGTGTCGTTTTTAACTGAATCCTGAATACCGATCAGTTTCTATTACTTTCTTCATCTCTCTGCAACATTTCGTAACAGATATCGTATCGAAGATAACAAACCGGAAGTACTCAGCGGCATACCGTAAGGAATATCGAAGCTCCAAAGTCTTCCTTTTTGTCTTTATTTCTCCCATTTGTCGATCTCATCTGTCTGCAGCTAAGCTCTCCTGTCCCACTTGTTTATCTGTAGCGAAGCTCGTTGCGAGTCATCCTTCGGCTCCCTAGTTCTTCGAGCAAGCTTCTAATATGTTGACGTATATTCTATCCTAACATAATTGGGTATGTGTATGGAATGCTATCTATGTGTGGACATCTCTAATTTGTTTCTCAATTATGACTTATGCCTAGAAATACTAAGGGTTCACTACCAAAAAAAAAAAACACATTCAATCATTATGTTTTCCTTCGTGAATTCGCTTTCGTTATCGGGTCAAGTGTGGCGCTTCAGTTTGACAGGGTAAGTCGGACTCGGCCTCTGCCTCGGCCTCGGCCTCGATCTTTGGAGTGTGGAGTATATAGAGCGTAAAAGGTTTGTTAGATGACGTGATAGATGTGTGATGCTCGGATGCTTAAACGATAGTGGTGGTAATGTGGGGGAGTATATGCTGTGGATGCTAGATGCTGGTGGAGCGTCCCAGATCAAGGCTCGATGTGGTGTCTATTTTATTGCGGTTGAAATGGGGATGCTTAGTCACCTTAGCGAAGTGCACCATGGGCAGGCCGCTTTCGGTCTGGGCGGGCTAATTGATGTGGAAAGCGAGTCGGATTTGGCAATCGTTGTTGCATGCGTTTGGGTATAGTGACAGTAGTAGTGGGATTAGAACTGTTGCCTGCTTGAGCTGGAGTGGCAGCTGTGGCCACACTCGCCGGGGGGCTAGCACTCACCTCCAGGTCCACCTGGTGGCAGAACTGTCCCTTTAGCCAGGGCCACTTGAACGTTCGGAAGAGGGTGTTGCGGAAGTCTTCGCTGAAGAGGCAGTAGATGTAGAAGGTCAGCGAGTAGTTGATCAGCTCCATGAGGTTGGCACTGGCACGGAAGACCTGAAACGGGAAGCTCGGATAAACTTCCGAGGCGATGGTCATGTGGAGTATAGCCATTGGTGAAACGCAGACCAAGAACAGTATCGATGTGCTACCCAGTAGAAGAAATAAGCGGCGCTCCTCCGCAAACTTCCTCGGGTCATCGTCCTTGTGGAAGTTCGAGCTGGCCCGTGTCAAAACCATTTGGCGGCGTCGTTCGCATGTTCGTCGATACACAATCATAATCTGCAAGTTCAGGCCTCCAATCACCATGGTTGGAATCAGTTTGAATACCATCTCCAGCATGATCTTGTACACCTTGTAGAACATGGTCTGCTGGTATATGGTATTGTCGCGTCGCAGATAAACATAGACATCGGGAGAGGAAAGAATGCACTTGATCAGCTCGCCCCGGAAGATGCTCGGCAAGTACACGATGATGGTAACCAAAGAGGTCACAAATACCACCAATCTATGGATAATCGGTAGAGTGGAGAGTGGAAAATGTAATCAAAGGATCAGTAGCAGCACTAACTAACCAACTGAAGAAGCATAAATAATTGTTGGCCACCGTTTATTTTGTTGTTCCACTCACCCAGGGCGTCCCATGACGGGTCGCGTGACTCCAGGATGGCATACCGAGACATATCGCTCGAGTGTCAGGACGAGTAGCATCATCACGCCCACACCTGCGGGAGGAAGCAGTTCCGTTAGTTGCATTAGTTCCGCTTGTGCCTGGAAGGATCGAAGTGCAGGTCAGGCGAGCACTCACCCAAGCACCCGTTGCCCAAGTAAAGTTCCAAATGAGCCGTGTAGAAGGCGGGTCCGAACTCCTCCCATTGGCCTCGATCCTTGTGGACCTGCATGCGGATGCCGAAGGGTATTGCAAATAGAATCGCAAGCAGTGCTGCCGCGGAGTATGCTGTAGTGTGTACGTGGAAAGGGGCGAGAAAAAATGGCATTAGCTTCGCTGAAATATATATAAAAATGTCCTTTATGGCTGGCTTTATGGCATAGTTATGGCTACGTTTCCGCTCTGAATGGCAACAGGAAACAGTCTCGGACAGCACACATACTCCTACATATATACACACATACACATACAGTGGCGAATCACGTCTGACGAAGGAAATGAATGACTTTCCATTCCGGCTTGCTTTTGTACTTGTTCTAAGACATTTTGTTTTCAATAACTTTTGCCTTCTTGTTGGCGGCTGAGAATGTATGTTTTTATGTTTTTATGTTTTTATTGATTTATTATTATTTGTTTGTATGACCATAAAATTACATTATTGCTCATATCCAGCAATGAGCGTTTGTTCTTTGCCCACATACGAGTTTATTTACTCCATTCCGGTATGTTCGAGGAGCTGTGCACACGCAGCTTAATGTTCGCTATTTCACATCCCGATTCCAACACGGAAGCACGGGGAACATATATATCCCCCTCTCATAATGATTGCCATATAATTGGGTACAGGGACACATTAATATAAATGTCAGTTGTGTTTGTGCTCAGCCTGACAAGTGTCCTGCCATCAACGCTTGATTTGCCCATCACATTGTCAGACTCGCATGCGTATCATAGAATAGTGATTTCGGTATTTAAAGATAAAATATCGCTAGGCAGGAGAGATGGCATGAAAAATATATTTTTATAGACTATTGCCAAACTGTTTAACTATTGGTTAACGCAATGGGCGTTCCCGTCCACTGCCTGTGGAGTCGTCATGTACATATGTACGTCCAATTAGGTAGGGGAGACACTCAACACTTGGTGGCAATAACCTCCAAGTAACTAAGTGGGGAAACAGTCGGCTGGCAGCAGCATATTTTTGTTGTATTCATAAAATGAGCAGTCAGCCTAATGGGGCGGCAGTGGGTAGTGATTTCGCTCACCGCTCACCATAACAAATAAAGGCAAAAAATCTGCTAAAAACTGCCAGCATCAAACATTTGACGATAGGAAAGCAAAGCTTTAAGATGTCCGAGCTGCTGCACTCTTTTCATAGCTTTCGTGACCTACTTTATACACACATACGTATGGTTCAAACGTATTCATATACTGCTCTATTGTTCGGCCTCAAACTTTCACTAGGGAGATAGGGCGGAATAAGACGTGCAAAAACAAAGCCCAATGTTGTAAGAGAAGCTTTGAGACTCTCACGCATGCACTCTTATCAGAGCTTCCTCTGTTCTTCTCTCCCGTGCCTCCTTCAAGTCATTAATGTAATATATAATTAATTTATTTTTTGTGTTTGTTTGCCTGTTCCTATGGGACAACAACAAAATCGAAATACATAGAAAGAGGAAATAATATTTAATGCTTTAGCATTCTGGGAACAGGAAAGACGAGTCTCTATGTTTTGGTTTTCTCTTTTTACTATTTTGTCAAATTGCTAGTTTCTAATATAGAAAGCCAAAAGGAATGCCCCACCATTTCTTTACTTATATTCTTCACCACTTCTTCATGTCCGTTACTCTTTTCTTTTCTGTTAAATTGCTTGCCTCTCTAGTTGCAACATAATTTTGTGGCCGTCTTCAAAGTCGAGACTAAAAAATTGCCAACAGCCAGCACTGACTAAGTTGCGTTTCTCTCGTTTCGGAAGAGCGATAGGCTCATTTATCAATTAGAGTGCCATAAAGAAAGCTGGTGTCTAATAGAGTTGACATCCTGTGCGAAATAGAACAATGTATGTCCTGGATGCTGGCCTGGTTGGCTTTGCGGCTTTGCATAAATTTCAACGGGGTTAACCAGTCTCCTCTAATGAAATAACTTCCAATGAACCTGCAAAGCCATACACATACACAAAGAGATGGCGAGAAGAGGAAACGCGTAAACATTATCGGCACTGTGGAAGCTTTTCTTAGCACTGCCTACGTGTGTGGGTCTGCATGCCGAGAATTTCATCAGAAATCGTCGCGAGGTTAGGCTAATGAATAAATTCAGCAACACAATGCGTGTTCCAGCAGAGTGTGCAAGAGAAATATTGTCAATATTGGGGCACATTCACAAAGGAATAAACTCGAACTGGGCAATCAGTCAAGAGTCGACGCCCTCTCCCCATTCAGTTTACATCCCAATAGAATTTTGTTATTTGTGCGAAGACATACGAGTGTGCCCTGGTGGATACCGGATTCAGATGGCTACTTACCCCTCATATAGATGTAGGCAGTGCCACGCATGTTCCGACGGGTGAGCACAATTAGATTGAGAACATTGCCAATGATTCCCATGGCACAGATAATAGGCAGAAAAATTCCATAGCAGTACTCGCGGAGGGTTTGTGTACGCGGATCTTCCACATCCTGCGAGAAGGCAAACAAAAAATACACTTGAGTCGCTTATAAAGAAAGGAGAACATCCCATTAGTCATCTACAGCGTTGTCGTCCTCAATTTCCTCATCCTTTTCTATCTCGAATGGTTTGCCACAGATGAAAATTCAATAGTCGACTTGACACTTTTCTTTGTCTGACTTTTATATTCACGTGTACCGCAGCCTCACACCCTTCATTGCCTCTTTCTTGGCTTTTGTTTTCCGCTTCTATTTGTGTTTTTTTTTGTTACCCATGGCCCATAGCAGCTTCTGCCTGGTTTCGAGAGACGGGGCAGAAACTTTTTCAAAGCAGCATTCAGAATGGAGTATAGAGCGTGCTGTGCTGTCCTCCTTGCGCCTCCATCTGCCTGCTGTTTAACTAAAAAGCATTTCAGAACCCCGTCGCGCCAGAAAGTAGGCAGCAGTTTTCACTCCCCCAACCCCAGCAGGCAGTCCTGACCAGTGTTGTGTAGAAATCGTGAACAAGTTCGTTTTTCTTCGTTTAATTTTATTATGTGAACTAAGTTGTTCTTTTAGTTAATATCTTCGTCAATTTTCTTTCATAATTTTCTTGCTTATCGTTCCTTTTAGTATTTTCCGTTCTATTCGTAATTTTTTGGTAAACGTTTGCTTTTGTTCTGATATTAATTTTTGCGATGGACAAAAGAGTATTCCGTTCATTCACTTTAGTGCATTTTTCAGTTAATTTTTTGTTTGTTCGCATTTGAACTAGCCAACACTAGCCCTGACCAGAGCAGAATAGAGCAGAGGGCAGCCTCGGAGAAGAGTTATGCAAGCTGGCCCAAGGCAATGGTAATGGCATGCGAATATATCTTCGGCTCAATTGGCCATTTGATTGAGGAATACACATTTGCACCATCTGTGGCGAGTAGAGACTTACCCGATAGATGTCGTCCCGCAAGTCGGTGCCAAAGACGGGCGTGGCATTGGATGCTCCATCCAGGACATCAGTGGTGCTGCTGAGATTGGAGCCCCATATTAATGAGCAGTAGGCGGGATCCTCCTCGGTATTGTATAGCCTCGTTATCATTGTTGTTGTTTTGCTTTTGAGAATCGATTTTAATTTGTGTAATTGAGGCGAACCCAAGATAACACCCGACCCGACCAACAGATTCTGTGTGTTTTTTTTTACTTAAAACTAGAAGGGACGTGTGAGGCGCTTCTTACGCGTCACAACTTTTATACCCGGTACTCAGTACTACTCAGGGGGCTGGGGCGAAACTTTGAAATACACTTGCAGCAGTGAGAGCATACAGCAATCTGCATTGGTGGCTCTAGCTTTTATGGTCTCTGAGAACCAGGCGCTCAACAAGACAGACGGACAGGCGGACGAACAGACAGACATGGCTATGTTGACTCGGCTATTGATGCTGATCAAGAATATATATACTTCCTTCTGTGTGTTACCTTTTTTCCCAAAAATACAATATACCCTATTTACTCTTCGAGTACCGGGTATAAAATCAGCCAGGGCATACGGTACATAAATGGCACTAGGACTGGTACTGCGACGAATGAATAAATTGAATGCCTTTTCAATGCCAATATTTTAAATGGGCAGGGGAAAAGGAAAAAAAAGGGAGAAAACAACAACCAATTGTGACGCGTCTAGCGGAAACGGAAGCGTTCACTTGTACTACAGTGCGATAAAAACAAAGCCCAAAAGAAAAACACACTGGCGAGAAGAATAAGAGAGGGAGAGAGAAGAGAGACGGCGTAACAATCGAGGCTTTGATTGCAGCACAAACAAATCAACAAAAATTGAAAAGCAGCCTGTGAAAGCGTAAAAGTAAAATGCTGGAATTAATTGCGGCCCATGAAAATTGTGTCAATGAACAGGAAAATAAAGTACATATTTCGCAGGGACACACATTTCTCTATTGCCAACTTTGAATTTGTGCACGTTCCTTTAAAGATATTTTAGTTGCCACTTGAGAAACAGAATGCCACTCACCTGTTTGCTCGTGTTTGGTTGAAAATCTTTTTCAGTCCTGTCTGACTTCTGACCTTCCTTTACACCAACCAAGTACAGCTGTCTTTAGTAGCTCTTTTTCTTCTTAGTAATTTGTAAGCCTCTTCGAACTCTTCTCGAAATCAAATCGTTGCATCGAACTATGGTATCTATTATAAAAAACAAAATAAAAGATGGTGTTGTATGAGTCTGGGTACATATCAGATCAGGACTATCGCTGGGTTTGTGTGTGTGTGTGGCAACAGGTGTGTGTTATTTGCAAGCATCCACATCCCTCAGCGCTGTCAGCAGTCGGCTCCCGCTATGCCCTTAAATCAACGTTGACAGGCCGAACAGTTGCTGATAAATGCCCGAGTAATAGCCCCCACTCCGAAGCAATGGCAACAGCTGATAAGTATTCCTGCTAATCTTGTTAATTTAATTTCGGCTGTCAGCGAAGAGCTGGAATAAAATAGTTCCTTGGCTCATATCCAATACGATTAGCATTCGAAAAAAGGCAGCTAGCTGGCCGAAACAACAGGGTGCATGCCCGAATGTATGCAACACTTTTCACGTGCACCATTTGCATAGCTCATACGCACCGGTAGCCGTGCCTGTTCACGTGTACGTGTGTACGTGTACGTGTACGTAACGCTGTCCGTCGTCTAGCTTGGTGGCGGTGAAACAAACATGACACAAACTTAATTTCCCCAAGGCAAAACATAAAAGCACTCTGAATCCGCGACTGACTGTTGGTTGGGTCTGTAGGGTCTGTAGGGTCTGCGCTCTGTGGTCTGGAGCGTGTGATTTCTGAGCGTTGTTCAAACGCGAAGACACCTGCAGAGAGCCCTCAGTGTGTACTCTGCATTAAATCTGAGTCTCAGTCTGTTTCTGCTTCTGAATCTGGATCTCAGTGTGAATCTGGAGATAGCGATGGCTTTGGGTGTGGGCATAATTTATGCCTGCGATTATCATAATAATTCGCCAGACCCAACCAGACCAGTCCGACACACACGACTGCTCTGGAGCTGAATCAAAAAGTTTTGTGCCATGGGCATGGGCATGGTCGTTGTCGTTGTCGTTGTCGTTGTGTGTGAGGGTGTTGACTGTCAACTGTCGCTTGTTAGTTTTTTGTTTTTTGAGCTTTTCACTGCCTTTGCTTCTAGCTTGTGGCTTCTGGCTTCTGGCTTCTGCTGTTTGCCGAGCACTTACAGTTATTGCGGTTTAGTTTGCCCGGCAACTGAATCCCAAACCCAATCGGTTGTGGAAGCAGCCAACCCCCTTTTGTTTGGGGGCTGTCTGTGCTCTGGATTTGTTTTACATTTGGCTGGTTATTTTTTAGTTGTGTTCTGCTGCGGCGACTGCTGCTGCTGCTGCTGGTGCTTTCCATTTTATTCGGTTAACAAAAAGCAGTTTGTCATTTAGACAAACACATGCTCGCTCTCCTCTCATTGGAGAAGGGAGATGGCAACATACACACTGACTTTGGCTGTTTATCTTCCACTTAATACGTAGCACAACCCGAAGCACCCGATGTAGGGCTTAATCGAGGGGCTGGAGCTGTCTCGCTCTGTAGCAGGGGCCCTGCGCTATGTGCCAGCGATCCATCTCTATCTCTGCCGCATGCGTTCCGTCATGATTAATGCCTTTGTTTACATTTTCCGCTTTCCGCTTTTCAACATTCGGCCATTTTCTTTTGGGGGGCTCTAGCTACCCCGCCTTCTGCCTGGTGGCCGCCTGCCAAGCGAATGATATGTTTGGCAAAAAAAAGTTTAACGCAAATTAAGTCAAACTGGCAGCGCCTAACGATGTGCGACAGAGATGAATATCTGCGTATGTGGTGGAATGTGTGTGTGTGTGTGTGTGTTAGCTTGCAAGCTGTTTGTGGTATATGTGTGGTGGCCCACTGGTTTTTCGACTGGACTCGAGCTTTCATTCACCCACAAAATGTATGGCCCAAGTGACAAGCGTCCGAAGGGGCTATGAGAGGACGCTGACAACCAGAAAAAAACACACACACGCAGCGCCAACCCCTCGACAGGCAGCAGACACCAACACACACCTACACACACTCTACACACATGCTCACAAATTAAGTTTTGCTTTAGAAAAATAACCCACTATAAGGGGAAATAAACTCAAGACAAGTTTATGGAGATTTGCCATAGTCAAGCAGCAGACCAAAACCAGGCACAGAAGAACAATTTGTGAAGTTTTCTGCTTAAAATATATATTAAAATATGAAACCATAGAGAGCTTGGCATCGATTCCACTATCCATTAATATTCATTGTTGATTTTGAACCATATTCTCACTCCCGCCCACCAAGCGGTTGGTTTTCTCCAATCGAAATTATGCTTCTGGCGAGTTGCTAAATACACAGGCGCATAATGAAGATGTTCAGCCATATGATAGCAGCAATTAGTCTCCTTTTCGAGCATTACACTTTCAATTTCCCAAAGATGACATCATGCGTGCTCCTGTAGGAAGTGTAAATCTCTCTCCAAAATGGGGAAACTCACCCATTAAATGAAGAATTCGTGCCTTAAAGTAGTTGTCTTTCATCAACTCTACGCTGGAAATACAAGCATTCAATCTTCTTTGTTGCGTATTTGTCAAAGATTCAGAAGTCAGATGTATGTGGGTAAGGGATAAATTAAGTTGAACTGGGAATGGGAGTTGGAAAATGCGGCAAGTCTCCCAAATTTGTTTTTGTTTTTAATTTCCTTAATTTCAATGCTGATTCTGTTTGCTGTCCAGCTTCAAGGACTCTTTTGGACACTGCTGTTGGCTTTTAATTACGCTTTTCGTTTCGTTTCGTTTCATTTCACTTTTTCGCTTCTCAAAGTAAGCTTTTAATTAAAACTTAGATGCGGCACAAGTTCATTGCATGGCGTTGCAGGTCATGCTGCCAGATGATGGCCTCTAAGTAATCTCAATATTATATGTATCATTTGTTATAATCATAATACTCTTACGAGTCTGCACTTCGATCCTATATCTCATCTCCATTTGTTGTACTCGTACTTTAATGACGTGATAACGCCATATATGTACATACATATGTATGCCACCCGCCAAAGTACTTACATACATGCACATGTAGCAACTTCTGTGGCCGTGGTCAGGGAGTGCAAGGTTTGGCAGGGAGAAGTACGAGAAATGCACTCAAAATGAAATGTCAACTTACCCGCAGAGGCGTGCGAAGGGCACCTATGACGCTCACGATAGCTGCCGCTGCTGCTGCTTCTCCTCTGGAGTTGTGAATGTTGCAACACGTTGTATGTTGTTGCTTCAGTTGTTGATTGGTGCTGCGGTGCTGCGCTCTTTGGTTGTTTGGAAAGTAGAAAACTTATAACTTATCTGAACGAATTATATTTCCCACAGTTTTTCTTTGAACGCTTCGGTTTGGCAGTTGTTGCAGTTGCAGTTGCAGTTTCTGTGTCTGTGTCTGTGTGCTCTGCAGCTGGCTCTTCGTCGTCGCTTTTTGGCAGCGAATCTTCGATGGTGTTCTCGGTGGTTCTGTTGTCTGAGTTCCGCGGACTCAGTGGCAGCTTAATGGGCATAAAAAAGAGAAGATATAGATAAAACATAAGTCTGCACTTAAGCTGTTGGTAGTGCTGTTGGTACTGTCATGTGTATTGGGCGGAGACTCCGCTTTTGGTGGCGATCCTTCTAGTCAGCACACGGTACACAGCACGGCGGTCACGACAATGATTACCATAATCATCCTGTCTTCAGCTTCTGTCGACTGTTCTTTCCCGCCAAAATTTAAATACGGGAACTCAAATGTTGGACACTCGCAGCAACTTTCAAATACACTTTTGAACAACTTTTTGTTTGTCTTTTGCACTTTTCAACTGCCTGAAATAGATTTCAGCTAAATTCACCAGAAAAAAATGAGCAAACAATTCATTGATGGTTTGGATTCGGAAATCTATTGCCAGGACGAGGAGAGCCTAAGCTGGGATGATTTCAGCCAGCTTTTGGAACTTATTCTGTAGTTGGGTCTGGCTAGCTGTTTCTGGCCTTGGCCTCTGCTCCTGTTGCTACTGTGGCCCTGTTGCTTCTGCTATTATATCTTTCGTTTTCAGCTGCTTTTGCTGCTGTGGCTGTTTGTGCTTCGTGTCCTGACGGGTAACTGAGCTGAACTGGCTGGCGCAGCCGCTTTTATAGCAGTTGAACAAAGGCTTTCAATCGGGGTTGAACTTCGCATTCAACCAGCGAATAACGGGTGGGAAATTCTGGCAGGAATTTCCCTGCTTCGGTGTGGTGTAGGTCGATCAGATGGATTCGGGATTCTGCCACAGCACTGATGTAACGACTCCACAGTGCGGCGCCATCTGGTGCATAAGCTGGTGCTGTGGGCCATGGCCTCGACTCATCTTTTCCCATGCGTTCCTACATTTTGCGGCTATCACGCATTAAAATCAAGACAAATGCCATTCGGACATGCTGACGAACCAGTTGAGAGCAATGTAATTGCAGATGGAGCCGCCTCACTTCTCCTTCTCTCTCAAGATCTGCTGATGCCTGGCAGGATCCAAGGCAGGATACGATGACCTCCGCGGGCCTAGGCTGCTGAGATTTGAATGTTTGAACAGGCCCAATTCGAAGGCCCCTTTTGCAAGCCGATGTCGACGCTAATGATGAGGATGAGGTCGTCAACGACGCCAGCGAACTCACTTGAGAACTATTTCAATAAGCGTTATGCACGCATTGTCCTTCACCCTGTTTTTCTCGACTGTCTCTGTGTATATGTGCATGAGTATGGGTTCATGGATGCGTCTGTGTGTATGTGTGCGTGTGTGTGTGTGTTTGCATTTGTTCGCGCCACGCTGATGCAGCTTTCCTTTGCACTTTTCCTTCCTCAAACTGTTATCCCTTCCGCGGGGCATATCAACCATCACATTCAACTAGAAGCCTCAAACTCAATAATGCAAAAATGTTCCTCCTGCTGCCGTACATAAAATATTTGTAGCTCACACAAAAGAATCCTGTTTATCATTTAACTTTAGGGTTTTTGTGGATTTTGTTTTTGTGTGTATTTTTTCGTATCTCTCTCGCCATTCCCAATTCCCTCCTCTTTGTTTGGTCAGAGCATTCCCACTTCGTGTTGGACAAGTTCTAATTTATTTTTTCACCCATTTTCTTTATTTCCATTTTCTCATCCGTCGCCAGCGTTTTCGTTGTCGTCTTCGTTGCCTACAAGCAATTTGCAGCGGTTTACATTTTTCGATTCTCATTCTAATTTTGTTGTTGGTTTTTGCGACGACAGCGCACAGTGGATCGTAGTTGCGAAGTAGACGCTGGTCTTAGGTATGAGCTTGATCAATTCCGAGTTGTAGTCAAAGAAAAGTTTAGCCCGAAATCTGATTTTTGCAAAGTTGAAAAGTTCTCGAAAAAGTAGCCACTGTGCGGCGTTGCTGGCGTCGCAGCTTCCTGCCTTTTTTGTTGTTGTCGTGTATGGTATGTACATGCCTTTTTCGATTCTTATCGTCCCATTCCCATTCCCATTCCCAGTGCTTGTCACTGCCTCCTGAAAGAGCCGACTCAGTTTGAGTTTGTCTGTCTATCTCCTTGACTGGGCCACCTTGCGCCAATTAATGCCCCATCCCCTATCCTCCTCCTATTCAAACTTTTCTTGCTTTCATCGCTTTTTCCCATTTGCGGTGGGACTTTTCAGCTTTAGGCATCGCCTCGGCACCAAATGCCATCGATACGACCATGTCCACGTTCACGCAAATCAAACAGATTCCCAAGCGAAAGCTCCGCAAAATCGAGTCACACTTGCACAGTTGGCCCTGGCTCGCAGCTACTCTCAGCGCTCTCTGCCTCCCACTGCCACCCTTTTATTGTCAACGAAGGCAAGTCTGATATTTTGTGGTAAGTAGGTCACTAGAACCATTTATTGAGACGAGACGAGAGCTGCTCAAAAAAATGCAGAGCCCCTTAACTATGCAAAGTCCTCGAGCCAAACACCCATAAATGCAGTAACCATAAAAGGATTCAATTAAAAACTCACTGATTGCAGTCGGGTGTGATTTGAGTGAAGAGTTTTCAGCACTGAATACAACCAGAATTCTATAATTTTGATAGTACGCATAGAACATTGTAGGGGTGGACGACATCTGTTTTATAAATTGGCTGAATCACACTCTGTGTGTCGGCGGTGTCAGTGGTTGAGGGCGCCAATTTCCCGTTCATTGAACTCGCTGGACGTTCCAAGAAAAACGCTCTCCTGACACGCAGGTGTCTTGGCTACTTATCTGATTTTCTCTTCTCTCTGCTGCTCTGTAGGATTTCCCATTTTGCTTTATTTTCTGCTCCCAAATGGCGGGAAAGAAATCTTTGGGCAGTACCTGCGCCGCCCCCTCTGTTCCACAATTAGTCGGCCTCCCGTTTAAATATTTGACGCAGGCTTTGTTTTTGCCACCTCCAGAATGACGTGGAGATGGCGGAAACGAGACAGCGAGCGGAAATACTCCCAGCACAATGTCACGAGTGGCCCAGCTGGAGTCCTACGTGTGTCGCTGGGGCAGTCGCTCGCCGCCAACGCAACTTCATTACAGTGTGGCCTCAGCCGATAAAAAAGTTACAAAAGACTTCAAGCTTGGCAGTTTTTATAGGAAAATACTTTGACAATTGAACACTAGACATCGTGGCACTGTGCATTCGCGCATCCAGAGTTCTGTTGATCGCTGTTCATGTGCCATAAAGATGTAGTTTTTCGTCCCACTCCCCGATTGCGTAGGCGCCTTTTTGCGATTAATTCAATTGAATTTGGAATCGGCATCAGTGTGCGGCTGGGGTCGGGTGTTTATGGCGAAGCAGTGGCTGTGATTAAAAAATTGATTACAAAGTTCATTGACCCGAGTTGGAGCTTCCGCTGGAAGCAAGTGGCTATCCAGCAATCTGGCACCTTACTTACGAGTAGTGCAGATAGATAGACAGATTTCATGATTACTTTTCGGCATTTGCATTCTGCGTTCTTTTCCCCTCGACTGACTGCCTGAAGTGCGATTACTCTACCAAAACAATTGCCGTAGAGGAAGGAGGTGGTGGAGATGGAACTCCGCGGAGCCCTAATAGCCAACCCCCGGGAATGGCACGTGACACGTGAGAAAGTGACCTAGTTCAGCGTTTTATGGAATAATTCATTATGTATGTACATACATACATACGTGGTTGTCATTGTCACTTCATTTAAGTGGGTCTATCAGCCACAATGCTTTTAGGAAACTGCTGAACAGCCCCTACGGCAACGGTTTGGTGTTTTTGTTTGCGAGTAATTTGCTGGCAAACTAATTGACTATGTCTCGGATTTGGTTTTATATCGATTAGCGATTTGTGGGACGACATATTTCCTTGCCTTTCTACCAATTGTCAGCTGCTGTTTATTGTGTGTGTTTTGTTTTTAAATTGTTTATTAAGCGTTCTTTTTGTGGGCTTCTTGGCCCTGAAGCTACGGCATTGAAAGAGTCTCCAGGGGCCTGGGGCAATGGGGCGGGGCCACGAAGGGCCAGGGGTCAGGCGTGGAACTGCTTGCAGTTTAACCTTCAGCTAAACCTTGTTTGCCTTATCAAAATGCATTGGGGCACTCGCACTTGCTGCGAGTTTCCAGATAAATCAGTTTTGGCCAACTTATGGAAGAGAAAATGCTTGAGCCCTCACCTTGTGTGTTCCGTTTCTGCACCTGGATGTAGGGCCGAGGGACAGCATGGGGATGGGCTGCCAATAGGCACGAACCTGTCTGCTGACGGTCGGTCAGCCAGGTACACTCGCAGCTGGCCTTCTGCCTTACCGACTCACTTGCGTGACAAGACTTTGACAAACTTGTAAACTTCTCCCCAGTGATCCTCCTCCTTCTTGGGTGTGTTCGGGGTACACACCACCCGCACACTCTCGTAAATGCCAGAAGTAATAAGCCAAATTCATGACGCCTCAGACAACAGTGGGGGCTTTTGTTGCATTTAAGCAAGAGGAGTGACAGCAGAGCTGACTTCTCAGGAACGCATAAAGTATTCATCAAACGCCAATCCAAATTGACCCAATTTGACTCGCGTTTCGGAATTTATACCTGCAACTCACTGGGAAACCCATTCACGCGAAGGATTCACTTGTCACTTGGTACAAGGCATCTGCCACAGTTATGTTTGCCTTGAGTTATATTTGAATGCCCTTTCTAAGCGAAATGAATGTGCCTAGGCACTGCTCTATGGCATGAGGGATGCACCTGAATTATTAATTCTTGTTTTCGCTTCTGCCAAAGTTCACCTCACGACTGAGAAGGAAGAAGCTGAGAATGCTGTTTTGTAGCTTAAACCTATTCATTATTATATTTCGCATTTGACTTCTCTCTCGTTGTTGCCAGGAGACCATACACTACCTGAAGGACACCTCCTTCCATTCCACTTTGAAAAGTAACTAATAACTGAGCAAATCATAAGCCGTGGAGGAAATTAAAAAAGAGTTTTCAAAGAGTTATCTGCCGCCCTTTAAAAATGTTCAAGGGGCACAGTCCCACAGTTAAGTATCCATCAGATACGAATCACAACCATTTCTCT